ATTACCTTTGAATGCACTATCAGAGTACCAGATTTGGATTCGTTTCCACTCAAAGCACCCTGATATAATGAAAGGTTTAGAGAGACTATTTTTACTTTCTCTTCAACTTCCGGGTTGTCTAATGAGGAGTGTTAATGATTATTCTGAGAAAATAACTACGTAGTTGAGGCATCCGTGGCTTAGGCAATATGAAAAATGTGTTTGCTTTAGTTGTCAAAGAGTTTGAAAATTCTAAAACATTCTTCCGGAAATCCCACTGAGAAGTCGTACATCCTAAAAATCCAAGGGTAATCTTGCCATACTTTTTTTCTGTTAATTTACTTTGAGTAGATTATAAATATGTATTGCTCTTATGATCGAAACTCTTCATTATTTATATTCAGGAACTTTAATTGGAAACCAATCCAAATCTGGTACTCTGATAGTGCATTCAAAGGTAATTCTAAAGTATATAAGTTTATTAATTGAATATTGTATCTTGCTCGAGATATTTAGTTTCCAAAAGCCAAAAAAAAGGTTCATTTTTGTTGGAACCATTTTAGTACAAAGGAAACGTTAGACAAAAACATTCCCGCTAATAAAAGGATCATCTCATTGAATAGTATCTACTCAGAAGGCTTCACGTGTCTATCATTTAAAATGGATATATTCGAGGTATGAAGTTTTCCCTAGCAAATCAAAAATTCTGTTCCCCATTTAAACCTCTTTGCATAATTTTCACAGCTCTGTTAACAGACACAACACAAGCCCTATGAACTCTGAAAGTTTGCTTCCATTCTCAAGATAGAGAATCTAGAGTCTGATACATTCTCAAACAGTCAATCTCATATTATTTGATCCGTATCTTTGTGAAAATAAAATCGAACAATAAATAATGAGATTTAACTAATAGATTGATGAAAAATTGTGATAGAAAACAGTTTTGTGGTTTCTACACCCTCAAATCGCAGTCGCGAAGAAAACGAACTGCTGCATGTTGTAGAGCAAGCGTCACTCTATCGAGCTGCTAGTACCAGTATTCTGGTTAATTCTGGGCCACACATCGATTTTTTCGAGAAAAATGCTTCTTTCACTTACGGTAAAAAGAAAAGAAAAGCGTAGTTTTTGTATTTGACCTGCATGTTAGCGAAAATAGAATTTATTTCGGAAAAGTGCTTTAGAAAAATGATGAGCGAAAAATTCTCTACAAACCCTGTAACTTTAAATGGATTCTGGTTTTGTCGCCTGATGGACCTGGTGGTTTCCGGTGCAATGGCCCAATAGATAATCAAGTTGTAGAGATGTGATGTGTAATAGTATGGAGTACCTCACAATAAAAATCTTTCCCCCTGTTTTGTTCTATTAGAAGTTAAAATGAAATCCTCGAATGTCTTAACGTAATATGCTAAGTTTACATTTTCTCGTTCAGTTCTGCGCTATTAAGTGAGTGAAATTCAAATGAAAAGGCTATATATTTTATTAATAATGCTATCGGCCTTTGAATAATCATTTATTCTTTAGTTTATGTACATTGACGTTCGTTTGACGTAAACAAAAATTACTTAAAGTATTCTTAACAAATTATAATTAATAAACGATTGAATTAATTCAACAGTTGAATAATATTAAGAAACATTTTTTCTAATATTTTACATAGACTTGTAAGAACTTTAAACTTTTATTATAATTTTCAACTGGGCTCCCGGTTTTATTGCCACAGGACAAAATCCAAGCGTTCTATTGTACACATTGAATTTTAATTATTTTCTTTTTGTCAAAGGTTTTTCATAACTTGTAAGAATGCTAATTTGATATCTGGTTCAGGGTAATTCTTTGAAACATGATTCATTTACTCAAGAAAGTAATAAAATATGTGGCATGTTTAACAATAGACTATTCAACATTCTAAATAAAGTGGTTTTCATTAGAAAATAGTTCGTGATTAAAAAGGAATTGAAATATATCAGGAAAACACATATATGACGAGTCTTTCTTTAAAATTTGAATGAGCTTTTCATCGGCTTGTCCACCTAGCGCTTAACTCCAATAACCAAGAGTTTATAGTCATTGTTCCAGAAGCTCCTTATCGCAACTTAGTATTAAGTGTAAAAAAACATTTTTTATTCTGTGAATACCTGCGGTGCTGTGCTTGAACAAACTGATATGTCGATTCATTAATTTATTTTGGTTATGCGTCCTTATTCGAATAGTAATTTGAAAAAATATTTAGGCTTAAAATATGCTGTTCGAAAATTTCCTCGTGGTCTGTTAACCGGTGCGTGTCCATTGTCTTGGACATTATCAAGTACGCCACAAACACCATCAGCAAAACTTAAACGTTCACAATCAATGAATGCTACTCGTCAAGAAGCACCTGTTGGCCAATCGACTGCAAGTACAACACGACCTGCAGCTGGTCCGATGGTCACGTTTTATACACGCGAACAGTTTACTAATAATGATATCGAAGAATTAAATACGCAACTTGAACAAAATTTATTACCCTCCGACAGTGGAACCCGTTTATCACGTGCAACAACACAAGGATCAAAACAAAGCTCGCGCTCATCATTGACTTCGGAACGGTCAAATATCAGTAATGTCTCGGACAAACCATGGAAACCATGAACCTCATTTATATTTCTTACCTGTGTGTGTGCACCTTATTTAACCTTGTCCTCTCTGATTTTCTTTTCGAGTATACACTAAGAAATAAACACGGATTGCTTGGCAAACATCACGTTTTTTTTATCGCACATACTCTTCAGTGTACGCGAATATTAAAAATACTAACTAATTAGTCAGTTACATTAGTAATTAATGTAAAAGTGCAAAACGCAAAAAGAAGACCATACTAATAATCTACAGCATGAATAATGCTACCTTATAAAGGAATAAATAGTCTCAATGAAATACTAGCTAATGCAGATGAATTATGTATTCGCAAAGTAAAAAAATGTATTAATATCTCTGAAAATAGTGTGAAGGAGAATATTCAGTCTCAGGGTTCTGTGAGTCTTTTTAAATTCTGAATTCTATTTGTTAGGTATTCTGCAGGCTCTCACTATTCCTAATGACAAAAGCAATGAAATCTCGACGGCATTCGATCGTACTGCTATATTAAAAAACAAATGAATGCAAAAAATTTAGCACCACCAGTTATTTAACTTGCACAACCATAGTTAATACTCGTATATTATCTTTTAGCCAAACTGATGTATACCTTAAATCAAGAGAAGACTTGAACTAGCATAACTCATTTCAAAAAAATTAATAAATACCACCTGACTTCATATCCCACGATCGACTCATAATCCCTAAAGTGCATGTAGTTGCAGTTTATCGCCTTTTGACGTCACCGAAATGAATATAATTAGTGTACATTAACATCAACAAATTTAAGATATTTAGTTTTTTTCTTTGTTTATTTCATACGTTAATAAAAAGAAATAAAAAATAGTCATGCTCGCTTCCAATAGAAATAACGAAACGTAATCACTCAATGACGAAGAAAAAAAGCAAAATATTAGATATCAGATGTATATCGCGGAGAAAATTGCGAAAAAAATGAATTGGATTGATTTAAATTTATTGACGATATGGAATTATTTGTTAAAAGTATTATTTCATTTTTAACGGCTACATGACACATAGCATGACATTCTTCTCGGTAAGCTTGTAAATATTTTTCTGTACTTAATATATGCAAAATATTAATTGATGGATCATTAACAAAAATAATATATTGATTTAAACATTGAATAAATGCTGAACAAATAGTTAATGGGTTTCGAGCAATAGGAAATCTAATTGCTGGCATTTTTTCATTGGTTTTAAAATTATTTGTCCAACAAAATACAACGCCATATGATGCATCATTCATTTGAACGAGAAAATTCATTGTTTTATCATTAACACAGAAATGTATAAAACGCTCAACATCAGGAAAAAGCATTGTTAAATCATAATCGTTCAGAGAAACAAATTTTTCACGCGAATAGTGTGTTAATGTCCAATGGCAACTACGATTCGTATAAATATGATATATATATTTATCATACACAGCGCCAATACCACGATGGGAATAATTTGTCTCTGGTTCATCATCATCACTACGCGGTAACATACGCGAATTAAGTTTAATGCGTAGGCCAATTGAATAAATAAAAAATTCACGTTCGGTAAACATATAAATATCATCATTGATAATCCAACCCATAGAAATAATCAAACCATCATGCCAATTGAGAGGATACTCTTTCTGAACCCCACGTTCAACGACACCCAAATGCCAATTATCTACTCGATTAAGTAAACCTTTATAAAGAACGATGTATTTTGCATTGCACGTTAGCAAGACCAACATGTTCGGCTCATGTCGGTAGTGGGAAACTAAAATGAAATTTTTTTCTGTTTAATTTTATTTCTCATGGAAATAAAGATTTATAAATTTCTTTTCAAAATAATCTATTACCGGGAGTTAACGGTAAACGCTGCCCTATGTTATTTGCAACTAATGTTGTTTGCTGTTGGGTTGTTGTAGGTGGAGCCACTGTAGCTCTTATTTGTTCACGAGTATTATAACTATTTACATTACTATTAGGCATCGATGACGAACTCGGAATCCTACGACCAGAAAATGATATATTGGAATTGGTGGATGGTGGATTCAATCGTGTACTAAATCGAAATCGTGGACCCCGCTCGGTTGTTGTCACCGGAGCTTGATTAACATTAGTTCTAAAGATCAGACAAAATGATTACATATGGAAACGCAGGCAAACTATTTTGACCTATGAGGATTCAGTAAACTATTCCTAACGAACATGTTCACTCATTGGGAATGATATTTATAAGAAAAAATCTAGTTTAATGTTTAACCATACGTGGTATTAGTATGCTCTGTTGTTGATTGAGCTGCTGCGCGTTTTGATTGAATTCCAAAGGTTGATCTGAATAAAGAGAGAAAAAATGATATTGGGAAAAAATTTTTATTCGAATTATTACAAATCCGAATCTTTTCCCGTTAGATCTTTTTTATCTTCTTCGGTTTCTTCATCATTTCGATTCATGTTAACACTTTCAATGATTTTTTCCTGACGTAATTTTTGTTTTCTGTTTATTTGACTTTGATCCTTTCCATTTGACTCATCATCATAATCATTATCATTAATTGTTGATCTTTGTAACACTAACGCTGCAACAGGAATCGGCTGTACTGCAGGTTTATTAATTTTACACTCGGATGTTGTAAAAAGCTCGTCGATATCAGATTCCTTCATACGTAATTTTGGTACTTGTTGAATACATGTTGTTCTTTGTTCAAAACGTTTTTCACAATCTTCAAATTTCTTCCGAGCTTCAAAGAATACACATTAGAACATCAAAACAAACAGTCGTGAGCTCACCTTGATCATAATTGTTCGCACGGAATAAATCGATAACTTCTGTGATATCATTATTAAATTGTGCTTTATTTTCTTCGGATGTTTTCTTATTCTTTACACGAATATCTTCAAGTTTTGCTTTAAGCTCATGAATTTTTTCGTGAAATTTTTTTTCAGTCTTTTCAATATATTTATTTGTTGCGTCTATTTCTCTATTGCAAAAATTTTCGTCATCATCAAGTGTTTCTTCTATTTGTTGTATACGTTCCTGAAGATATGCTTCTAATTTTTGCGGATCTGATAAGTGTTGATCTCCTTTTGAATCCATCAATGAAATAACTATGATTAAAGAGCACGAATTAACTAACTAATCATTCAAATCGATATTTTTTCCCAGATATTTTAAAGAATTCGTTTTCATTGGAATGCGTTGGCAGACCCATGAAGTATGACTATCATAGAGGCCACCGGTAGACGAATTATAATAGGTAGCATAGGTTTTTGAAAGAACAAATAAAAAACTATTTCTTAATTAGCTATGAAATTCGCATGTGCGCAAAAACTACTGCTAGACTTGCATTTATGAATAAAAAGCTTTTCAACATATAATTAGGAATTTATAAATAATTAGTTTTGAGAATGAAGGATAGAAACTACTGGATAATTAAATTGACTATGAGTCGAATTCTTTTCCCACTTCATGATAAAAGTAAAAAGCTTTTTAGATCATCAGGAAATGAGTAGCCTTGGCATACAAACTAAATAAATAGGAAATTTTATTGCTGAGCAAATTGACTATTCTATATATAAAATAAACAAGTGAATGAGTCAGTTTTCAATCATAAACTGATTGATATGGTTTTGACATTTATTTGCGATTCGGCTTCCTTTTTCTTTTTGCAAACATGATTGAAGTGTTCACTCCAATATGTAAGCGATTTGTCAAGAAATATTTGTTCAGTTGTAGTTCTCATGGCGTTTTAAGAGGAGTGTAGTTTCATTAGGTCGATTCTAGTGAAGTAGAGAAAACCGGACACAAGAAAAAAAGACCTATCTGTATATGTCTTGGCTTTGTCAGATAAAATCATTGTAGGCAGTTATTTATGTTACCCTTGAAGTTTCCATAGATAAAAGCTGTCAATGACACTTGTGACATGTCAAAGTATCAGATATTCAAGCACATCAAACATTCATAAAATCAATATTGATAATTTGATTATATGAAAAAGTAGGAGTATATTTTTCTCGCTACAATTCAAAATGTAGGAGATAATAGAAAATCGGATATCTTTACCGTGAACTAAGTTTAGTAAGAACTTAATTTTGTCCAATAACTGAACTAGTAACGCCTCCAATGAGCTCTTAATAGGATCGGTAGCAATGACATTATATTCATTTCAAAGACAACGATTAACAATCCACAATTCAAAAGCTTTAGGAATTTTTCTCTCATTTATAATAATAGCTAGACGCAAGCAAGTACTTTGCTTTAGAATTCCTTTTTTTTTCTTTATCGCGGAAAGATCGTCACTATGCTAAAGAGCATTTTCCCATTAAATGATTCAAAGCTCCGGTGTACAACTAGGCAAAACAAAAATGTTCGCCCTTAAGTAAGTAGCATCTCTTCCATGGAATGCTTTTGAAAACAAGTCTATCTTCAAAATTTTAAAATTAAATATCAAATAATATTTTTCTCCACACATTACACTTTGCAAATTGTATTCTTATGCGTATCGACATACTCTTGAATATTCATGCATTAGAAATTTGCAAAATAAGCTCTAGGAAAAAGTCCATTGTTCAATGATTGAAAGCAAAACAAAAGATAAAACGAAGATAGAATGTCGCCGTCATTTGTAGATTATTAATGTTAATCGCCGGTCAAAAGAGAACAGTTCATTTAGTTCTTTGACCCTTTTAATATAGCAGAAAAAAATTTCTATGTCATACTGGTCTGTCTTAAAATTGAGTTGATTAAAAATGCTAAATAATTTTCTCGATGACTCGTAGCGTTGAGATAAGAAATTTTCAACATAAAGAAAAAATAAGATTTTAACTCATCTATGAAATATTTAGAATCAAATAGTCAACACTTTTCTTGAAAAAAGAAAGGAAATTATAGATTGTTATGTTTACTTCCGAAATGATTTAGTTCTCGATGAGGTGCTTATAGTAGTTTTTTTTTCTAAAATAAAAACTTGGTTTTACATAGAATTGCCACTTGAAATTAAAGAAAAATTCTCTTTATACTTTTGCTTTGTTCCCATTTAGCAAAAAGAAGAAAGACTGCACTTGCTGTTCTGATATTCTTTTTTTTTGCAATATAGTTTCCAAACGTTTAACTAGACTCCATCTGGTTCTGTTGCTGATATTAGTTTTTGATAAGAATCATTTATTTTTATTTTTCACACTTCCTTTTACTTGTTAACTCGTTTCCTCAATTTGCGTACTCTCGCTAAAAAATACTCGTGAATGAGAAAGCCAATATGTCATTTCTCTTTTTTTTCTCTATATTTTTCTCCGTTCATCGTTCATCCTAATGTCACATAGCATAGGTATACAAGTTAATGTCTCTGTATGTTGAGAAAATAAGTGGAAGACAGATGTCGTGTTGCTAAGCAATAGTTCTCTCACTGTCAACTAGTATTCCCTTGTCTTTAGTCGACGTCGTCTATCTCCTCTCGACGGGCACACGCGTACCTTCACGACTAACTCTGCGAGAAAAGATTCAATCTGCTGCTCTCACCTCTTTCCTTCTCTCCTTCTCTTTTTCGTCTTTGTCTCCTCGTTCTCTACGCGCTACTACTATACTACTCACACATATTCACTCAGTACTGCTTGATTCTGCATATACTTCTCTTCTTTTCTTCTTTCATTTATATATTTTTTTTTCTTGACTTAACAAGCATATAAACAGACCAGCAACACAGATCATCAGCAATAGCAGATTATTCGTCGTATGTGTGAGTTCTCCTGTGTATTATTAGAATATGTGTATTCTAAAGTATAGGGTAGCTTTCAACGGAAAAAAAAGAAAAAATGCCAGTAGATGATGGCATGGAGAAGAAAAGGCGTTAGTTTCACAGATTCTCATTTAATGAAGATATTTTATTTTTCGTAAGTAACTGTCATATAGGTTTTTTTTCTCTTATCCGTCTGACATAGCAAAAAGAAATTGAGAGCACATGTCAAACGGAAGGAAATAGTACATTGTGCATCAAATGCTGCAAATATTTCGAATTTGTTCTTCACCATTCTCTTTTGTTGCTCGCATTCGTTAAGAAAAAGAAAAGCAAATTGCTATCATATTCTTTTAGACAAATGTTAGCTCATCAGGATCCAACGAATGTAAAACAACATTCAGATCATGATCTTACTGAATTATCATGGCTAACAAAATCAGACATATTCGATCGTCCAACATCATCACGTTCAGCACGTTCAGTACCGACGGTGAGTAAAAATTTACCAATCTATGTTACTGACAAGCATCGCCATCGTTCATCGCCACCAAGTGTTATTGATTCATCTGATAGCGAACATGATAATGATTCATCATCGCTTAATTCATCAAGTGAACGCGTAATAATAACAACAACAACAGCAACAGCAACTGATATTGTTTCACCACCACATTCAGCTCTATGCTTTTGGATATTATTTGCTATTGAAGATTGTAAATCTCGTGCGTTAACATTAAATGAAATATGTGATTGGATTGAACATCATATTGAACAATCAACTACGCCAACAATTCATAATTCAAATTCTTCTCCGGATGAACAAACAATTCAGAGTGCGCGGTTAAAAAGTAAAATACGTTATCATATGACAAAACAATTATCATTTTTTGTTAAAATTATTAAAAATCCAAACAATGGAATTAAACTACGGTATCCTTTATGGACGACAGATCGTTCAAAACGTTTACTTTTACTCGATACATTATTAACAATGACTACACGGCAACTATCATTGACAACACAATATACAATTGCTCTGTTCGAACGTTTATGTTTAGAACGACGGCAACAATTAATGTCGAATACAAACGATGAGAACAGTTGTCCATTGAAGAATCTCAAACGTGATAAAACAATTCATCGTCGTGGTTCACCAGAGGAAACAAATAATAAAAGAAAAAAACAACGCTCTAAACATGATCTATCAGGAACATCTACAGCAACGCCCAGTGTTGAAGTGGTTGATGCCGCCATGACATTACTTCTTTTACGACAACCAAAATGAGAGATGATTTTTTTTCAGAGAAAAAAACACATCTAAAAATTTTATGAATCTACATCTAGAAACAAGATGAAAAGAAAATCTACTACAAAGAAATCTATGGTGTGCCTTCGATAGCAAACGATGTCAGGTGATGTAAACATGTATATGAATAAACTTGTGGATCTTTTCTAGAAGCGCCTAAGTTTAGTTTTATTTTTTTTAATATAAATCTTGTGCAATTTTTTGCCTTGTTTTGTTGTTGTTTTGTCCAGTTTTTGATGATGAAGTGAAGGAGGAATGAATGAAAGATTGTTGTTTTTGTTTTTGTTCTTATTCAGTTGTTTTATTCTGACTTCCACAATGATTCAATCGTTGTATTGGAAAGAAGAAAAAAAAGGCCCATACAGGTACAACATTAAACTATGAAAAGAATTTCATTTTGTCGGCGAGAAATGAAGAACAAAAAAATCTTATAATTATCAAGGATATTAATTTTCACATAAAATTCATAATTCAATAATAATATTAACAACAAACAGTTTATTGACAGAAGAAACACAAAAAAAAGAGAGAAAGCTTTCAACTCAACATAAATGAAATTATTCTTTTAAAAAAATAGACGACTCTACAATAATTAATGTATAAGCTTTTGGATTAGATGAAAGACTCGCACTCTAATAATTTATCGGCTTGTCACAACAGGGGAATATAATCCAAGTTTATATCCATTTGCAGCAACATTTTCATTGAATGAACGCGAAGGAAATGGATTGAAAGATGAATATTTTGGTGCTTGTGATGATCGAGATTTTACAAGTTGATCAATTAGAGTATTCGATGTTGTTTCGTTTTGCGGAATCGAAGCCTTTTCAAGTTTGAGACATGTCAGTAATTGCTCGAATTCCTGTTGGATATCTTCGGTTTCTTCTTTCAATGATGATTTCATAGAAACATGTTTTTTCATTTGATTGCGTTTGACACCGACGGGCTTCACAAGTAAATGATTAATCTAGACAACAACAAAAAAAAATATATATATGAAATATTTTTAGACTATTTAATTACCAATGGTCCACCGGATATTGAACAAACAGATTCTGATGTAGGCTGGCGTTGCTCATTTGAACCTGTGTAATGTAAAAATAATAAAAAGTTTGTCTTGATACGAAGAATAAGATAAAATTTACATTGAGTAATAATTTGTACTTGTTGATTTCGTTGTTTAAGTTTTTTATATTGTTGTCGAAGTTGATTTATGTCAGGAGAACTTGTCTTTGGTGACATGGGTTCAACTAAAAATAACAAATATGAATAACAAAAGCAAAATAAAAGAATGTTCCACATTTCTTACATCGATTATTGCGTAGCGGTGATGACGACGATGAAAGTATTGCAAAACAAGAAATAAAATTAATAACATCATCGTCGATGAATTTTGTTTTTGCTCGTTTGACATCCTACGGAAAACAAATGGCAGAGAATTAAATACATGGTAATGTCGTTCTGGAATGTCACTTTTAACATTATCAATGACAGTTAGACATATCCCAGCTAATCTTTATATGTTTCAATATATACAACGCGTGCCAGCTTACTTTAGTTTTTGATCGATTAGTATTTGTTTGTCCAATGGATTGGTTTACTTTGATATTTTCTAATGTTTGTTGAAATGTAAACTTTTGACGTAATTCAGATAACATAGGCGTTGGAAATGGGCCGAAATTGTATAGCCCCTAGAAGAATATAAAGATTAAAAATTGATCAACATAATGAAAACTAATATAATCTTATCTCCCTCAATCTATCCCTCCTATGCGCCCTGAAAGTACAAGACTCTCTTGGTTTTTGTTCCAGCTCAGTGAGCTGTTATTGGCAAAAAAAAAAATAGCAATTTTGTTTTGCCTTTAATAATAATATCATTTATTCTGTTTATGTGTCCAATCATCTGCACAATGAACAGATCTAATTAAAACTCATTTGCATGATTTTCAAATTATATTTCTATTTAAAATTTAAATTTAAAAACGTAGTGGTACTTTTATAAGATTATCAGCATCAAGAATTTTCTCATCAAGTAATTGAACTGACAAATGACCCATAGCCGAGTAAAATTGATCAGCTGTTGATACTTTTGAAACAGCTCTAGAAAATGTAAGAAAATGTTTTTTGTTTTCGTTTAAAAAAAAACGACGAAACTTACACTCCTAATTTCGACCAGAGCAGAAGTCCAGTTCGAAATAATACTTCACTACCTTCAATCATTAATGCATCCCAAACACGTAGAGTAGCTGGTCGAGGTAAACATGTTGCAAATAACGTTAAAAACCATTGAATGGTAAAAACATTTAATAGAGGTGGCTCATAATTTTCATCGGAATCATCATTACATAACGACGGTGATGATGATGATGATGATGATTGGAGAGTTTGTAAATGTAAATGTAATTGCGGATTGTAGATTTTTAACCATTGACCAAACACGGTCATGTCAATAGCTAATGCATGTAGATTATTAGAGAAAAAATCCGGTAATATACAATCAATTAAATAAATTAGTATCATCAATGAATATTCTTCATTCATATTGACAACATCCAGTATTACAGATGCTAATATATGAAGACCTTGGCAATAACCAATGGTTTTATTATAACGCGCGAACGCAAGTAGAACACGCTGAAGTAATGTACGATTATATTCATTGGATGACCAATTACAGCCAGTCCGATGAAGATCCTAAATGTGAAGAAAAACGCTCAAATTTTAAATTTCATTGTTTTGCAAAATTTACTTTCACAATTTGAATATTTAGTTGTTCATCTTCTGGATATGTATCTGCATTAAAAGCAAAGTCGCAAGTTTTCTGCCAGTCGAGATGAATATCATGAATGTATTTAGTTGCTAATGAAATCCATAACTAAGAGAAAAATAATAAATAAAACATACGATTGCATTCTATTTTTTTACTTTTTGTCGTTTTTCCACTGATAAACCTCCTGGTATACGAGTTTCCATTGACATTGAATCTTTCCATTGTTGAAAATCTTCACCTGTAAGTAAATATAACATCAACAAATGATTTTTCCTTTCTTTTTCTTACCTTCTAACGTTGAAAATATATCATTTTTTGATGTTTCTAATGCGTCAACAATCGTCATCTTAAAAGAAGAGAAAATGAAAAATGTTAAAGCACAATCAACCCGATAGTTTTCCTTTTGCATTAAAATAAAATCGACAAAAACATTAGATGAGTATAAAGAAAGACAAAATCTATTTTAACGTTTCTTTTTTCTTTCGTTCTTTGAAAAACAAAAGAATATTGAATTTTATAGTATAAGTAACATCATCTTTCTAGACGTTAACCAAGAGAGTTCGTGGCATGCTTACGTGTAAATACGATTAACTGAACTGGTCTTGATTCATCAATGCTTCTAGTAGTTAGTTTCTCCGCAGATAGAAAATGAGAGCAGGCAGACGAAAAAGAAAAATTCTTTTACATTATCGTAAGCATGCGCAGGCAAGCGAAGGCCGATGAGAAAAAAGACGTAGGCGATAGCATTTCTTATTCTATTCTTGTGTCGATAATGATGACGTCAATCCGTCATTCTACGTCATTGCTTCTCTCTTTTTCTATCTGAAGGAGGCGTTCATAAAAAACAAGCTGCTTAACAATTTATTGTTCATTCATTTTTCTAGAAGAGAACATCGTGACACAATAAAAAATAATATATATAGAGTCTACTATCAACAGAAGTCTATATTAATGAGAAGAAACTTTCGAATTGAATACATAATATGATGTGCTGTAGTGAAATCATGTCTGATTTTCTTGCTTGTTCCAGCAAAGAAACCGAAAAGATCATATCAGCTGATGTTATTTATGTAATTGATAATCAGTACTTGATCTATACTCTGCTAAATAGTTTTCTGCTGTTATTCCTGCAACAAAAAGACATTAATAAGTGGAGAATAGTTGTCGCTGAAAAGTCATAAACTAGATATTTTTGCTTTTGTGTGTCTACTCGATTGAATACAAAGTAAATAAAAAGCAAAAATAAACTACTTGAATTCTATAGACACACACGCACACGCACACGCACACGCACACGATTTTGTTTTCTGTTAGACGACATTATCAAAGATATCATACTTCAAGTCAGTCATGAAATATTAGACTTAAAATCAATATTAATTAGAATTCTATTTTAGGTCCCGATGGCTGTTCTACAATAGGAAAAGATTGTTTTACTCTAATTTTAGACTAAAAAGAAACAATAGTTTCAAAGTACTTTCATTCGATTGAATAAAATATACGATCAAGGGTAGAAAACGAAATTTCAAAATAAAAAAGAATAAATTGTATGAGTGACTAATTGTCATGACCTCTTTAACAAGAAATTAATCACATACGAATTAGCTTGCTAGTGACCATCTTGTGATTCTTCGAAACTACGCAGTAGACTTACGTAAAATCGTTTCAAATTAACAACTATCTAATGAAACCCAGATTCTCTCTCGAGCAGCTGATATTGATCTATTATATACAGTTTTGTCTTGTACACTTCGTTGGTAATAGTGAATTGATTCGAATAATCTACATGCATTTAGATTTAACTAGTACTCATTGCTGAAAATAATCATAAAAAAAGTATTTTTATCCCATGAATCAAGAATAGACCAATAGTAAATGTAAACTTGTGGATAGGAATTAGTAGGAAAAAACGATACGTCAACATCAATATATGTACTCTAGAGAATTCATGTAGAACAGCAAAGCAAATAGCATTCCTTAGCATTGCCATTTAGAACACATATGATTCCTTCAATTTTTTAACATGTAATAGATTATTAATTCTATTGGCGTGAATTCAAAAAGTCAATGAGATCAAGTGTTAGATTTACAATTATTTTTTTGTAAGAGCGATATGATCATATGAAATCGCAATAGCGGACACTAGATGCCAGAAGTTTTTTTTATGCAGAAGCACGCGTTCTCTTTAGAAAAACGATCGTTTCCAGGCAAAATAACAAAAACAACAAAAGTTAAAGTAGCTCTTTATCTAAAGCTGTCCATTAGGAGAAGTAGGCTTATATGAAAAATAAGCTTAACATTCAGTAAAAACAACAGCGAGAAAACCGGATTTTATCACCAATGAGTTCTGAATAAAATCTTACCGTGAAGGAATAAGGGGTCATATTTTCATGAATAAAAAAAACTGAAGCGAATTAAGCACATATATTCTCAATAGACTTCTGTATATCTAAATAATGAAAATTTGGAAATATTAAAAATTTTGTTTTTTATATTTGAAAATTATCCCAAGTAGGTTTCCAATCTACCCTAGAAAATATACTAACATTAACATAACTACACAAGTATTTTGTAGATCCATTGAAACTATCCTATTGGCATTTGAATAAATACAAAAAGAATTGTAAACAACACCTTTCATATTTAACTTCAATATAATATTAGTTTAATGTTTACTACAAACTGTGCTTGAATATGTAGAAAATTCCTAATCGTTCCTAATTTAATAGCTGAACAGTTTTTTTTTTATAAATTATGTTTTAAAAATAACTAAAAATTTGAATGTAAAAAGAAAGGGCCTGACCGGGGATCGAACCCGGAACCTCGCGCACCCGAAGCGCGAATCATACCACTAGACCATCAGGCCGGTCTCTTATTCGTCCTTGTTACACCGGCTATCGATGGATGGAAATGTTCGTGTTTCTTTTGTTTTTATTATCCTGAGCTATTATCGCGACTGATGCTAGTTGAAAAATTCGTAAGTTAACATGGTCCACAAAATGAGACGTTAGGCAAAAAGACAAAACAAAATAAAGGACTAGAAAAAAAAGAAGAAGAAGAAGAAGAACAAGTACAATTTTAATAGTATAGATTTCACAACTATCCAAAATAAGAAAAGAAAAAGTCAAAGAAATAAAAAATTTAAATAACCGTCTCGCGAAATCCATGTGTCTCTAGGAAAGCATCTATTCTTGTCGACGTTGCCGGCTGTAGCAATGCTTTGGGTAAAAATCCTATTTGTCCACCATTTTGTTTCCGAACAAGATAAGAAGCTTGTCCGACTTGTTTAAGTACGTAAACAAAATCACCGCGTTGAACTGAAAAAGAAGCACGAGAACTACGATAATCTTTTATCGTTGTAAATAAGCAATGTTGAGAATTTTGTAATTTTTTTGGATGATGTTGAATCATTGAATCTTTTTCAATCGCATCAATATTGATCTCACTGAATTGATCGCATAATATGTCGCTCATGGTTCGAGAATGATGATTTAATTTTATGGAGGACGATGATTGATCGCAGACAGAACGTGTTAAACTATTTGAATTTAGTTTCGAAAGAATCGGAACGGGTAAATCACATGATAAACGCCTTCGTTTAGAAAGACTCTTGTCAACATTCAATGACACGTCGGATGATGATGCCGATGTTGACGACGGCGACGACGATGACGATGCTGTCGATATTGACCGTGAATGTCCTTCGCTTGACGCTCGTTTATGTTTCGTTGTCGGCTGAACAGGACGAAAAGCACTGTGAGAACTTCCGAACTGTTGTTTTTGCCGATGATGATTAAGAAAAATACTCGCTGGAATTTGTACATGACTTTTCGGTAAATTATAGATAGATGGTTTTACTCGTTGCTGTTGTGATTGAGATTTATCTTGACGAACATTTCTTATTAAAGCAAATTCACGTGGACGACTACCGGCACTATTTGTTGATGTGGTCGAATTGATAGTTTTATTATTATTATTTTTATCTAATGTATGACGTCTATTCGAATCGTTGTTAATCATTTCATTCGTTGATATACCATTGAGAAGTGTATGTCGATGATTTCGATTTGAGTTCATTTGTTGTTGATGTGGTTGACTTGGGTTTATTGAGTCCGGAATTTTCAAAAGTGTCGAACGTCGAGCAGTTGCGTAATGTGGTGTTGTAATAGATTTCTGAAAAGAAAAAAAATTGCTTTTGCCTACATACGTTCTATTCCAATGGGAACTAAAGTGAGATCGAGTTCTTTTGTAATACGACAAATTAGTTTGGATACACGACTAAGAAAATGTGTGTGTGTGTGTGTGTGTGTTCAACAAAAAAAGAATCTTGGGATTGCCGAATGAATACGATTCAAAGCAGCTTGCTTTTCCTAAGAGAAAAATCTTGTTTGTTTTCTATGTCGGCTTATTAGAAGAATCAACTGAAAGTTTCAAATATTGATTTAGACGAAGTATTTTGTATGTGTTCAGATTTATAAATGAATCTTTGACAAGCTGGAAAATAGAATCCGGGCGGAAGCAAAACAATTAGCAGCCCTAGAACAGCTCTATTTGAAATTCATTTTATGTCACTTTCTTATATTCATCGTAATAGCACATAATTTAGTTTAACTTCATTGCTTTATGAGTGACTGAATCACGCTCTGAAATTTCCGCATCAAAACTTTGACAAAAATATGACTCTTTCATAGTTATATTTGAGGCTTTCTATTATACATTCTCTTTTTCATAGGGGAGAAAAAGAAAGGCAATGCTCTATCAAATAAACTACGAGCCGAGAGACGCATAAGAATCCTTGAAAAATAATCGATTTTTTTGATTAGTCTAGAAAATCAAAAAGTGGTTCAAACAGGTCAAGATTCCCTTGGCTAGAACGTTTTATTGCTAATCGAAATTTTCAAACATACTTTTGAACTATTCAATATTGGATGTGCCGGTGGTTGTTCATGTTCCGGTGTTGCTTGTTGTACAAGAAAAAATGGTGTCGACTCGGAATATCCAGAATCTTGCGTACTAGATGAATCGGTATCACGTGCTGGTATAACACTATTACTGTTGTTATTTGCTGTTGTTTTACTGTCATTTTTATTATTAACCGATGGTTGTTTACTCGTTAACGATGGATAATTGATAGAACTTATTGTTAATCGACGATCTTTTGATGATGATACATTTGATCGTGGCTGTCTGGGTAAAGTATATGTATTACATCTTTCACGTTCGTCAAAAGAAATAGGTTCTAATCGTTGATTTGAATTATTATTATTATTAATTATAGCTGAACTATGCGATAAATATCGATTCATGGGTTGCTTGCATGAGTTACCAAGATCTTTTTCATTTTTTAAAGACATTTCGGTTAGATGCAATTCATCTTCTTTACTAAACGAGGAGTCGGTTGATGAAACTGATAAATTATTTGCTTTTCTCATGCGATTGTGACATAATGAACATATGATCCGTGGAATATAACCTGTTTTCCCATTAGAATCAACACGTATGTAAAGCCAAGGTCCACGAGAAAACAATGCAGTCACAATCATACCTGAACATGAAGAAAGAAAAGCAATCACAAGAAATAATTCTCATTTTTCTTTCTCAGTTGCATGTTAAGTTAAAAGAAAAGTTCTTTGTCGGATATTCGAATTACTGTTCGTTATGCAATTTTAAAAATTTTTTTATAAAGAAAAAGAAAGGATTTCTTTAATATGCGTATGAAGAGAAGAGCAACCTTAAACATTTATATGCTAAAAGAGAAACAAAAAAATTCATGTTTCTAATGAGAATTTAAGTGTTGCGCATTAAAGGAAAATGTTCTATAATGAGTAACATTTTGAAAAAATTGTACTCGAACAAACTACTATGAGTTTTGTTATAGAATACAAATTAGAATTGTTAGATTATCAAATCTTTTTTAGAATGAATCCTGTAGAGATACATGCTGATTGAACTAAATAAAAGATTTTTTTTCTTAAAGACTCATGTCGAACAATAGAAGCCTAGTTCGTTGTAGAAAAACAAAATGATTAGATGACTGAAGTTGCCTCTGGTACGTCTCATTTTTCAGCCAAGTAAAAAAAGTAAGTTCTTCTTTCTTCTTCTTTTTCTATTTTATTACTATAATTAGATCTTTGGCAAATAGATCTCGAATAGGTCACCGAGAAAAAGAAGGTCTAATCCTTTTCTTAGTGTCATTTAATAGAACTAAGATGAATTAGAGAGCGTATCAGAATAATTCTTTCACTATAATCATCAATTTCAGTTCCGTAGATTTTACCTTTTGTAACAGCGATATGTGCTTGAGCAAATGGTTCAAAATTTTTTCGAACGATAATACATATATTGGCTGGATTTGATTTTGAATGTCCTTGTAGCAAACTTTCAATTGATCTGTGTCGAGTCATGGACGATATTGGCATTATAGTTGCAACAGCTGAATAACATGACGCATACGATGATGTACGATTTAAGAGACTTTGTGACATGTAACCTGAATCGTAATCAGTACGAATGATATCGTTTGACGATGATGGTTGCGCCGTTGTTGACTATAAACGAGAGAAAACATGATTTTTGAAAAAAGAAAAGAATTCATTCTTGCCTATCTTCATGTTTCTAAAGACAGGATGTTTGCTTCGGACTACTCTTAGTCAATAATGAAGAAGAAGAAGAAGAAGAAGAAGAAGGCTTATTCCATTTTTTTGCCCTTTCCTACTGGTGCTAAATGGCTTTTCTTATTTAATGTATTCAAAGGAGAAGAAAAATAAAATAAAATTAGAATGATTAGCTTTGCAAGAAAGAAAGAAAGAAAGAAACAGCACACATTCTTAAAGCTTATCGGTATTAGAAAACCAAATCAGAGTAAAAAAAAAATATATATATATATAAAGAGTACTTATTACTTTTGTCATTTATTCTGCTCTTTCTTCTTCTTCGATCTTCTCCTATATGCGTGCCCGCTATGTAAATTCTTGATCATGAATAATTAAGCTTCCATAGCGCGAAACAAATGAGAACTAAAAAAGGAGAAGATGCGCTCAGTCTTGTCTCTCTTCATTTTATAATATCCATTAAAAATCGAGAATAACGGAGTGACAACAAACATCTATAGTACGCACAAAATGTGCCCTCGAGAATGATGTGCATGCACACGAATGAAAGATTGAATAACGATGATTATACATTATCACCAACATACAAAAAAAATGGAAACTCTGCCTGAATTTGTTGACATTATTTAGATTGTGTTAAATAAATGATGATTCTTTTTTTCTAGGCTTTTATGTCGCTTGCATATCAAAGAGTCAAAGCCAGCGGCGAAAACTCGAAGGTCACATATGTGTATGAATTTCCTGGATAGAATTTCATGTATCTCTCAGCACGTAGGACTCGTTCTTCAAGTGTTCCATAAAATAACAATTATAAAATTATAAAATGCTAATGTAGTTAATTAGACTAGCAAAGAATGGGAAAAGACAAATTCTCGATCGATCGATCGATCGAATACCAATATGATTATTGATTATTGTATGATAGTCACTCATGGTAGAGCTTGTCTCAACTAATGACGATTACATCATCGTGTTTTCTATTAAATATTCTTTAGATTCTAATCGTTGATAGTGATGATAATTATATTGCATACACAAAAGAAGAAAAAAAGTCAATTTACTTCTATCGATTGCTATGGAAGAACGACTACGTGCTAGAAATGTATGTACTAATCATAGATGAATGAAGTGTCACTGTATGGGTAATGATGACAATATGACGCAACAAGGATCGTTCTCTTTTTTTAACACTTACAGCATCAACGCCTTTCTTATTTGATGTTTGACGATGTTGGTAATAGTGACGAGGACGCAATGACGCTGGCAAAAGATTGAACAATGAACGGCAATGTTCATCAGTCTTGTTCAACGTTTGAGCACCTAATTTACGATATGACTGATGCTGACCGCTTGTTTCCGCTCGCTGCGACGACATGATTGGCAACGACCTTAGGTCGATAACAGACGTCGTCATTGTAGCGGTGCCCAATGGTGTTGTTGATTCATCTTTGTAAGCTAAACAATAATAAGAGAAAATGAGTACTCTTCTATGAACTAACAGACAATTGAGAAAATATCGGATATCCGTCGATACACAAGATATATCAATTTGCTATAGAATGTTCAGTGTATCGCGTGATTTCATTTTTGACATGATTAAGTATAAACATACAAAATGCGTCAATATAAAAGAAGAAACAAACAAGAACAAGTTCAAAGATCCTTATTGAGTTAGTCAAATAAGTTCGGTCTTGATATAAACATTTCCTCTAGCTAATATTGACTGTGCTTTCATTTATTGAAACATCAACGCTCGTGTATACAGTTCACCTCATTTTTTCCTTCTTGCCTTGTGTCTAAATAAACTATGTGATAGAAGAGTGCAAACCAAAAAAGAAACCGATTGCTTATCATTTCTCCTTTTTTCTTCTGATGCCCCTCTGATTTATCGTATCTATCTGATATGATTTGAGATGTCCCGTCGTCTCAGCCTATTCACTCGCCTATGAGCTCACAGATATATATATATATATATAACACATGCAATCGATATGATGCGCCAATGCCTGATGCATACACACGCATTTTATGGTTCAAAATAATAGTGTTTGTGTCTACGATTGAAATAACATGCTACGAAAACTTACCAGTATGCTTACAAAGAATTTCTTTTATTTTCTTCCACATCTTCGAATAGGAGAAAAACCTAAAACGGGAGCGCTCAATCAATCAGTCAGTCTATATATCAATCAAATTCTTGTTGGTGATGTTGCCGTTGTTTTTTGTCATAATGATAAAGATAATGTAGCAACATCTATAATCTATAACATATGAAAAGAAATTTCTTCTCTCTCTCTTTTTTTTTTTAATATAATACGACATGATATGTTGTCAGCATCATCTAAAAGTACATGTGTGTGCTCATGCGGCTGTGTGTGTGTGTGTTTGTGTGTGACTGCTATATACACATATGATTAGAGTTAAACACAAACGCGAATGAGAACGAGAAAGAAAAGAGAGATGGTAACGAAGGGAGGGAAAAGACGATTTTCATTTTCCAGTTGCGAAGAAGGAAAATGGTTTGTGGAGACGAAGACTCGGGAAGCACTAACACAAGCAGTCGGGGACAAAAAACAGGAGAGAATAGTAACAGAAAGAAAAGTCTCTCTCTCTCTCTCTCTCTCTCTCTATATATATATATATATATATATATAAGCGAGTATTTTTTTTTACTATCACACAATGTCAATCTGTCCAAAGATTAGACGATCGAGAATAACTCAATAGAGATCTCTCACATGATTAGAATACAAAAGAAAGCACAATAGAATAAAAATCGATCGATATGTAGATTACAAATATCGTACAAGTTTAGTTGTTTCTTCTAGCGACATCCCATTAAATAAAGTATAAGTGTAAAAATAGAAAATGTGGAAATCAACTGCATACTAGCTAAAAGAGAAAAAAAACTGGCGACAGTGTTTAACAGACGATATTTTTCTCATTGAAAGAACCCGTTAAGTATTCATCTTTACCTTGATAATGGGTAACAACGGCCGATCTCTAAAGTCTACTTAAAGTTTCCTTTCTTTTTTTGTTCTAATGCGTTAAATTTTATTGAATATATGTAATGAATGCTATTTGCGCTCACAGAACTATTTGTTAAATGATTACATGAAGGATACCATATGTTTCATATACTAGCGCACTATGTGTTTATACGAATGTTAAAATCAAGGAAAAAATGCTGTTACCGGAGTCAACCGATGATAGAAGTGGCATTTGTCAATACACAGGATACAAAAAAGAAAACAAAAAACTTATGCAATATAAACATTAGGAAGAAAGTGAGGTACCTGTTTGTGTATGTGCGTTCAATTTCCGGTCAGTTCTTCCCTCTCGTTTTTTTCTTCCCCTCCCCCTCCCCCTCTGTCTCTCTCTCTCTCATGCTTCTGTACGCTTATTCATCTATAAGTAACATATGCATGCGTTGTCGTTGTTATGACGTGTATTTATTGAAACGAGAAGAGAGAGAGAGACAGGTAGGGAGGAAAAAAGAATTTGTTCGTTAGAAGTAATAACCTCATATACATAGGTATAAGCGGAAAAAAAATGACCGAAGTGCTCTTCTCTTTTCGAGATTCAAAGGCAAAGAACAAAGAAATAGCCATTGGTTATAAAATTGCGAGACATCGTAAATTCTTTGTTCCCTAACAAAACATATTACTTAAATGGTATAAGAAGAGCGAAGAAAAAAAATGCACTTTCTACTCTTATGAATAGGAAGACCTTCTTAGTTATATGAAAATGAGATTAAATTGATAGATTAGTTTCTTTTTCTTTTACACAAATGTCTAAATTCACTATTAATACCTATTTAGGTAATAGTAGAGAGAGAGAGAGAGAAATCATCTGATGAGTGTCTATAGTTTGAAATGAGAGATGAATAGCATGTGTCGATTTATTATTAACACCAACTGTGCGCGCACACACACATATATATGTCGATATCATATGAATAAAACAAGCAAACATTGATAATCATCGTCATTTTTTGCGGATACTCACTACGCGGTCAAATTACTGTATCAAATATAACTATAGATTTATTCTTTTGGTCTATTGAATATTGTATGACGATGTTGTAATGTTTTATTTCAATATATTATTGAAGCCTAAGAAAAACTTGTAATATTTGCAAAATAGTAAAAGCATTAATAAAAGAATATTTTTACATATTAATCGTAGAAAACTACAGTAGTATAACCTAGAAATTTTCTTATCGATAGTTCCTTTTCTATAGTTTCGAATGAAAAAAGAAAGAAGTAAGCTAACGCTTTCCTGTTAGGAATAGCTTACGGGTGTATGACGATAGTTTTCGTTAGCAAAAACTATAAATAAAAAATACGCTAAGAAAGAATTAGAAATCAGACTCATAGAAGAAATAATTTAAAAATCTCTTTTCAGTCGATGCAATCCCGATTGTGAATTGATTATTTATCCATTCGGATTCTCTTCTTGGTTGTATATTAATTAACTTAATGTCCCGGAGAAAACTATTCATTTATGAATAAAAACTTAAAATAATTTCCCATGATAGATTTATTTTTGAACGATCTACATATATGCATAACTCATTGGTTGTCTATGACCTAGATTCATTCTTCAACTAAAAACAATTATATAATCATTACAGTAGATATTTATTTTTAGTAACGATAATCAAGATTATAGCGATCCGTGGAATTTATTTTTCCTTTTCTTCAATAATAAGCAAGTCATACTACCTCGATTGTTCTGTCGCTTTGTCATTGAAAGGATTACAACGATTGTTTACAAGATAGAAAAATAAATCTAAATCAAATGAATTCGAATTTTATCCTTATTGATTAACACATACTTTTATGAATGTTAAGGCAATTATCTCAAAAACGTGTACTGCAATCGTATTGTGACAGAACGCTTTTTTCTCCCATAGATTCCATCTTATTTTATTCATGAACATGTAAACAACATTAAGTAAGAAAAAGTCAGCCATGCAATAAATTTGTATGCGCATTTTTTCATGAGTATTTCCTTTACTCTGGCTCTTGAGTTTCATATGAATAATAATAATAATAATAAAAATATATATATATATATTTATTAGAAACCAATGACATGATTTCACTCTTATTCAACAGACATTCTACATATGAAAACAAACACTTCTTCTGAATATGATAATATTTTCTTTATATTAGTTTGAAGTAATTCGAAATAAGCACTGCCTAGATTTCTCATGCTTTTGTCATCGAGAATTTTAATTGAGCCCTTCGATAAGTCGCAACGAGTAGCTACCCTATTATTGACCATATAGGTAGATAGAGACAACATCTGCTATAGTTTTTTACACATTTTATTCTTTGAAGTAAAATAAAGGGCATTATACGCCAATGAAAATAATTGCTTATTAATGTTTACTACGATAGAACAGAGATTTATCCTGTCGAAAGAAATTTTTTGTAAAGCTTTGTTTAAATATATATTGATGGCCATCTAAATAATTGCATCGAGCAATTACTATTCCATTTATATTCATATGGCGTGAAGTTTATTCGTACGGTTGAATGAATAAATTCATTACTGGAAATAGAGAACAAGTATCATTGCATTAAATGCTAGTGAGTATCAGAACTTATGTCTTAATTGAACATACAATTGAATAAATATTTGACTTTGCATGCCATAACCCTCAAGATAAAGTTATTATAGTTTTCTTTCCGATAGAGGCTATACAATTCTGTTGATTAATTATAGATAAAGCACAAGAAAATCGTGATCATTGCTATACTCTATTAGATTTATCTGATGGTGATACTTTTTAGGAATTCTCATTAATCAGACATCAACAAGTTTCAAGAGCAAAATGCTGCTCTTCAGCACATATGGACGCTCATGTTAGGTTACAGAGGAAAATTGAAGTATTGATTTTGTAGGAACGTTAAAAGCTCTCACAACTCTTGCGAATAGAATTTCAGTCCGAATCAATGAAAGCTAGAGAAGATACGGACACACTCGTGAATTCATGTTGTCGTAAAGCTATTTTTATTTTTATTATTCTGAATATGCAAAGCAAAAAAACAAAATATATAAACATATGTCGACCAGAAATAAAAGCCTTTCTCTATCCTGATTAACAGAACAAAGCTAGATTATCCAATCAATGCCTACAAGCATTGCTTTTCATTTGTGCAACTATCTATCTCTAGGTGACAAAGTTATGGTTCGTCCTTCATCTTTCTTATTCTGTGCGTGTTAAAACAACGCAGATGTCGCAATCCTCAGTCTCGGTCGATAATAAATGTGTGATGGCGAACTGAAATTATGATTAGTCTTTGGGAAAAAGCAATTTGTCGATGAGAATTTCACTGGGGCGATGGCAATGAGAATCATTGTTTTTTCGATGGGTATTGGTTGACGCAATGTCTTGAGCAGCATGAAGTAACATTTTCATTTTGTCATCCATCACTTTTTCTAAACTATCCAAACGTCTAGAGAAGAAAACGCAGTGTTAAGCAGTAAAAATCTGTTTCGACGTCTTACATTTGCAAAAATGCTAATGCAGCATCAACATCTGCCATACATCGTACGGGTCCCGTTTCATATTTCTTTAATGGGCTATTAATATAAAAGATAATATATATTATTTATAATTCAAAAGTTAATGTTTTTTACCAGAGGATTTTCGGTGATGAACTAATCTGTATAGTTGATGATGAGTTCTTTAAATATTTGGGTTGAAAATCCGTTGTGGTTAGTTGCGCAGTTTTCGGCACGGACACAATCGCTTCACGGGTATTCGTTAGTGCACCTGAAAGTAACTCGATAAGTTGAAATTTATCTTTCCCGTTTAAAAGCAAACAAATACCTTGAGATAAAGGTGTCAATAGTGTCCCTGTTCCTTCTCGTCCAAAATCAAGCTCTTCGGGTGATGTTAATGCCTGTTCCGGCGATAGTTCAACAATTGTGGTCATTGCTCGTCTTGTACCATCGATACCCAGTTGCATACCACGATAATTTCGAGAACAAGATAATTGATTAAATTCTAGATTAAAACAAAAAGCAATCTATTAGTATTCTTTTTATGTTTTCGATCTACCATCGTCTCGTTGATGTAATGGAGTTATTTCTCCTTTGGTTTGCAATTTCGGACCACGTTCATTAATAAGTTTTTGAATATCATTATCTAGTGTATCAAATGGCTTTGACTCATTTAATTCGCACTGAAAATAAAATTAGAATTCATTTTCAAGAGGATAAAAGGATTTGGATTTTACATACTTGTCGAAGATCAAATGTTACTCGAAATCGTTCTATAAATGATTTAGCAAAATCAGGATACAGTTGTAAAGCATGCAGTAAATCATCTCGATGAATTTTATTTAATGTACAATAAGTTAAACCTTTATTTAAAAAAAAACAGAAGAGAATAATTCAATAAGAAGATTTCATTAAAACAAAAATACCTCTAGCAACACATCGGGATTTTCCCGGTGTTACCGTATTGCATGGATTTTCACCGAGGATATCATTACGACCCAGTATCGCTTGTAATTCATTATTTTGTAATACTTCCATTTGTCCGCCACGAATAATATAAATTGAATTGAGAATGTCACCTGAATTTACGAACACATTAGTAAACTATCAAAAATTCATGTCCTTGTTTTCCGTTGCGAGATCTCACCTTTAGAAGTTTATTAAATTCGCATCGTGCGAACACTCGGGAGAAATTCTGACATACGATTAGCATCATTGCGCGTTCACTTCGTATATTATTATAATAAGAAAAATGCTTTATTTAAATTAAGAATCTTTTAGTTGACAAACACATGTCATCGCATATTCGAATTGACATGTCATTGATGTGTTTTCTAGCTTGTGGCTAGATGAGGAGAGAGAGAAAAAACTAGGCTCATGTGTGTTTGAATGACAACATTCACAGAAACATAGTTCAACTCAATAATATTTGTGCATACGGACTCTATAGCTTACCTTGGTGAATAAGTGTATCGCCGGGTGGAACATGAGTTGATTTGAAAAGAATAGCTAATGTTCGAAGAGCAACTTCAAACAAAACAAAATTCTTTTTTTTTATCAATAAAAAACGATTTCTTTTTCATTGGCTACCTTCAGTTGCATGTTCAAACACTGGACACGTATTTAACAATTCTCGATTAAGATGAAGACATATATCAGCTTGAATACATTCAGGAAATGTTTTCAGTATACTATTCATATCGATACCTTTGGTATTTTTCCATTCGTGTTCAAATGACTCTTGCATTCGTTTCGCAAGTACTTTACTAATACGATGATGTTTGATGAAATCATCAATACTTTGTTTCATTTCTTTTAATTCTTCAGCCCCTTGATATAATTTAATAATAATCGTTGTTACACTTCCGAGAATCGATGCACTTAAGAATGCTAGTAAATAAAAATACATTGACTTGGAAACTTTTTCTCGCTGTCTACTTACATCCAGCTAGCATGGATAGAATAGAAAAAAGTTTTTCACCATTTGTATTCTATTACAAACATAATGTTAAAAATAGAAAAAAAAACAAAGATTCCTATATTGTACCGCTGCAACATTTCCAAAGCCAACTGACGTCAGTGATGTCATAGCAAAGAAAAGTGCAGTTAAATATTTTGATTTTAAATCCGGTCCACTTAATGTATCATTTATAACTAAAATAATTTAATTGTACTAATTTGATTTTCTTTGGAAAAATTCACGTACGATAAGGCATTTTATATTTGTCAGCAAGATGATCGAGCCATGAATATTTAACATGCAAGTTGGGTCGTTCGAGAATAGCAATAAAATGGAATATACAAGCAAGCCAATGTGCAGCAATAGCAAAAAGAAGCATCAGAAAAAATAAGACAGCCGATCGATATTCGGTTTTTTGAAAATTTTGAACAAATGCAACAAGTCGTAATAGTCGTGCTAATTTAAAACAATTAGCTAGACGCATACTCTGCAGTAGAGGAAGAAAACAAACAATGGTTTTACTTCAAATTCAAGTGTTCGTTTGACACATACCGAATGACTTCCATTTCCATAGAAAAGAATATCCCAGGGCAGAGCACCAAGTATATCGACAGCAAAACGTTTCCAAGAATCCATAACAAAATGCTTAGCAATTAATATTGGACTTGTGATAACTTCATTTGTTTCCTTTAAAACAAATGTCGTTCTAAATAGAGATTATTCACAGAATAGGCATTTAAAAGGATCATAGGAATCCTAGTTTTTACCGAAAACTTATCAGAATATCAAATACAAACATCATATCAACAAGTACATCAGTTATAACTAATACGTGAACGCTGGTTCGTTCGCCATTGAATTGTCGCGTTGCCGGTAGTTCATTTAGATGTGTTCGTTTTTGATCTTCATCAGATAGAAACGATATTGTATACGGTGTAATGATTCCAGTATATAAAACAAGTAAAATAATAACCCAATCCCATCTAAGAATAATAGAATAATTAGTTATACAAAACATAAAAAAGAACCATCGGAACTAATACATACACCGCTTTAAATGGTGAATAATGAAGAATAATAAACCTTTGACCAAGCCGACGTGAACTAGCTGTTATTCCTGTTGTATTTCCACGTGAATCTAATCCGGATGTTACACTTGATGTTTCACTAGTTTGATTGGATGTTGTCTAAAAATATATAATTTTTTTTAATTTTAAATAAATAATTAGAAATTCAATTACGGAAGTATGATCTCGGTCGATTCTAAAATGAAGTCGGCTCTCAGCTGAAGCAAATGATGAAAGTCGCGATACTCGTCGCATTGAAACGATGGTTCGTTCTGTTTGTTTTATATTCTAACCAGCTCATTCGTTTGTTCTATCTCTCTGTCTATGGCGCTTATTTTTCTTTCAAGAAAGAAATCGACAGAAGTCTAAACCTTATTAATTGGTTCAAAGCATCGAGAAATAGATGACTTCTATACTATCACAAGATATTATATATATATATATATACGCATTTGATCAAGAGTATTATTTTGCCTTTTCTCATTGATAGAGAGTTCTTGTAATGGCAGCTCATTTGATTATTTCCGCCTTGTCACGACTAAAGTGAACTTAATTCATTCATGATTAGCGATATATTTATCTTACATAGAGAATAACATCGGCATGTAAATGACTTACTTTATCCACTGGGATTTCCCAAAGTTGTTGCTGTTGACTCATATCCTTTTTATTTGAACCAATCAGATCTTCTCTTGTTATTTCACCAACACTATTCATCGTTTTAATAACACGCACTAATTTTTGCGTACGTAGAACCTATGGGAATGTTTAGAATACAAATAGATTTCTTGATCATTTTAACATACCGCAGCATGAAATGACGATCGTTTATTAATAGTATCGGACAATTGAGTCATACTTGATTCTTGAGTACCAACAGTTGCTCGCATCTTTTAAATTTTTCTATTTTTTTGAAAGCATGAAAACGTGAACAGAAAAGGATTTATACTAACATTTATGACGATGTAAGTATTTTCTTTGCTTAAAGAATTATATTTACAACCGATTGCACTTCTTTCTACTCTAAGTTTGCATTTCCGTCGTTTCCTCCACGTGTGCCTCGATTCTTTTCTATTATGTGTTGTTAACATGCGTAAACGTATTCAATCTGTTCGATCAACGTCGTCACACGTTGAACTCGATACGCTTAGTCGAAGTATTTAAAGAAAAATTCAACTTTAAATATAGTTTTATTTCTCGCATTGCAAACACCTTTGACACTCATAGCTGATTCTTATGATTTTTAGTTAACTGCTTACAATATAATTGATTTACTGATGCGCTCCAATCATGAATATGCGTATATTTCAATTCAGACTGAATGAGGCTGAAGAAATCTGCTTTTCTCAAATCGCATTGCCACTATTTTCTTCCTTGATGCCAATAGAAATTTCAATTTTTTCGCTAACGGTACAGAAATGAACAGTGAGACCAATCAATAAGAGCTCCGTTAATATCGCTTGCAAAGAAGTCGAAATGAATTGTATTTCTTTTTAGTTACTGTTTTGAAATCTTGTCTGTATGTTTCTGAAGTTGAGACGAAAATAAAAAAACGTGAGTAGAATGAAATAAAGTATTCAACCACGAACAATGTTGGTTTTCTTACTGATTTCATATATATCCAGGTGAAAAAGAGAAGAGTAGTCGAGGTAAACTTAAGATAGCTAACCAACTCGAACTAATTATCAGATTTTTATGTTTATAAAATGGTTCCATAACATTATCGATACATGCGTTTTGTTTCTTGACTGCAGTACGTTTCTTTGCAATAGAAAGAATGACACCAACAGTTGAGGTAAATTTAAGTACAAATGGAGCCATGAAATGAAAAATGTCAATAAACAAATGAGAACTTTCAACGGTTGATGTTAGCCGAATCAAACACCATGTTCGATTTTCCTCTTTATCGTCAACCAGACGACGATGAATAGGATCGTGTATAAGAAAAGCACATATAAATAGAGGAACTATGCAACTCAGAGCTGGGTACGTACGGGCTTTTTCGAGTACGAGTACATGATAGATTCATTCAGAAGACAATATATATATAAATATAAAAGGAAAGAAAGAAATCAACTGTTCTTTCTTGAAAAATTCTGCATTATGATTTTATCAAGCATCATTTCGATATAATTAATGTTGATGTAGGACTTCGAGTACTTAACCCTCGAGTACGAGTACGATCAAAATGGCACTCGAGTACGAGTACTTCGAGTATTTCGCTCAGTTCTGATGCAAATCAACAATTATGCCATCGTTTTGCTCTTCCATAGGTTAAATTTGACATCGAGAATAACAGTAGCAAGTCGTTCAATAACGACACAGGCATGAGACCAATCAGAATGACTAGTAAAAATCGAAGAATAAATTCAGTTGAAATGCAGCTAACAAAGAGAAAATATCGACAAGTAACTATTGACATTTGTGAAAGAATAAGAAACCATAATGTGAAATTCAAACCAATTACAGTTAGAAGAGATCCTATCGATGATACAATAAGATGAATACCACAACCATCTTTTTGACAGACTTTTGATTGAAAAATTAAAATCGATAAACTTCCAGATATCAAACCCACAAGCAACATAGTCTTTGTTGGACATGTTGGATTGTTTGGAAAGGTTTGAGCTCTACTTTGATACTTGTTTGCACATGCACAATCCTAAGTCATGTTGAAATCGAAATGAAAACAGTTGTCTTGTCTTTCTTCTGTACAAAGGCAGATGAATGTTTCATTGTCGTGAAAACAAACAAGATTCGAATATTGCATGAGAAGAAGGTGATAATATTTCACTCGACGAAGAATCGGATAATCAACAAGTGATCGATTGAGCAAGTCTAGAACACGCGGACAATATTGAGATCGAGTAATTTCTGTCGTAATCACCATTGAAGGTGTATAATTATATTGAAGGACACTTAGGCAGAATTGACGTTCAATTTGAGAAAAGGCAAGATGAAATGTTAAACGTGGCGATGTCTTGGCCGAATCTTATCTTCTGGAGTGTAGTCACTCGTATTCGCATTGGATTCATACTAGAGAACTCAAATTTACGAACCGTAATAAAATAGCTTGGGAAGTAGACACGCCCGAAAAAGAAATTTCAATTTGAAAATCTTTATGTTCACATTTCTCACCAGAAAAACCATCTTGACAGATACACATGAAATTTGTAAAAGAGATTCTGTCATCGTATGGTACACAAAGACCTCCGTTCATACACATAGTTTTGTGACAAATTGAGTCACGACAACATCGCGGTGACGTCTTCGCTAAAGGACAAAGACAAATCGATCGGTTGTTTACAATGCCAACACAAAGAGAATCTTTTGAACAGTTGCATTTGCCTTGATCACTAGGAAGCATGTTTGGTTGCTCATCGTATCTTGCATGACGTGATCTATGCCCTTTGCTTTGTGCTGGAATTACTAATTCAGCGCTAACATGATTGTCAGACATGAAAAGAAACTTCACTGGTAGTGTCCAACTTTTGAGATAGATAAGATTGACTGTATTTGAGTGATATTACGGCCATCCATATTAATAATACGACATCGTATACAGTATAGTATTTCTGCGCCCGAGATTACGCCACATTCCGAACCTTTTAAGACTCAATACAGCGCATAAAATACCGTATTTCGCAACTTTTCGGCAAAAATACGGATAGCTGTATCAACAACCTGAGATGCGGAAGTTTGACTTTTTCTTTAGTACCAAAAATGCAGCGTAGGGTCAGACTGTCAAACTAGGGGATGCCTTGCAGCCTTCTAGCATCGTTTCTCGCTGCAATTGATTGGTTTGAAGAACAGTGTATGAGTCGTTATTAAGGTCTATCAAATTATATACGAAATTTTGGAAAGAACCTATAGTCAAGCTGGTAGTGGATTGTTCATTCGATGGTGATTAAATACATTGTTTTTCAATAAAAGATGTTGGTATGAATAATTGTAGATAACGAACACACATTAACACTCGCAACCTCCATTCTTCTGATAATTTCGTAAAAATTCAGAAAAAAGCATTTAGCAGCGTACAATATTTTTCCGATTAATGAATTAACTTCAATTATTTATTGTTTTGGCTACAATTACATAGGAAGATGTAATTCGTTTATGCAAGGTCGGTTCTGATGTTCGCAATGAAAATTTATTTCTACGCAAAATCTGAAACATTGCTTCATAGATGAGTATGAATGAGGATATTTGCGTATAGCAGGGCTTTTTTCTCGTTTTCAAATCTGCTTGTTTTGAATTTTGATTCAATCCCTTTGAAAAGCACCATCTGTAGTTTTTGATACTTTATTTCAAATGATTACAAAATTTAAAGTACTTGCTGGTTTTTTCCATTGATAAGTTTTATCTTGCATTGTGATATGACATATTTTTCGTTGCCTTGATAATCAAAAGTTTTATCATATATTTTCATACAAAATTCAATATGAATGTTGATAACTATATTTACAAAAAGAAGCTAAAACATGATTCTGACAGGCTTAAAATATACCAAAAAGGTAACAGAATGCGAAAGTATACGTCAAGCCAATGCTTCGCCGCTGTTTTTTCAATGAATAATTTAAAAAACATAAAAATACCAACAAAATGATGATGTTTTGTTTTTTTCCTCACTGTGTGAGAGGATATAAAATATTAAAATCTAAAAAACTATAAATTACAATCCGTTTTTTCTTGAAAAGCGAAAAGTCGTTCGTCACACTTCACTATCAATGGGTGAACCAATGATGAATTTATTAGAAATGGATGCAGTTGAATTGAGAAAAGGCTCGATCAAAGTCACTGTTGATTCGATTCGTCTCAGGAAATATTCAGCCCGTGCTTCATTAGAAAATATTCAGTAGGATGTCGGATCATCAATTTCCAATGGCGATATTAATATTGATAAACATGATGCTCAATTTCAAGAATTATCTTTGGGCTGTAAATATAATCTGTCACAGCTGCGTAAAGATCCGAATAACAAATATATACAGAATGAACTTGAAGAAAACATGAAAAGTTTGCCACGCATCAAGAGGTGGTCATCTCTTATGCGAACAGAAGAGGGTATGGCTATAGTAAAAGAAGACATGAAAAAAGAACGTGAATATGAAGTGAATCAACGGAAATATGAAATTGATGAAGTACTCAAATTAACTAAAGCTCAGTCGGCTATTGACGTCTGTTTCTTAGTAGACTGCACGGGCAGCATGTCAGCATACATCGATGCAACAAAAACACAAATTCGTCAACTTACTGACACTATAATTAAATTACATGCTACAAAACCTCATCTCGCGTTCGTTGGTTACCGCGATATTGATGAAAATATTGAGAAACTCGATTTCACTGATGATGTGAACATATTCAAAATGTATCTAGATCAAGTGAACGCAACCGGTGGTGATGATACATGTGAAGATGTTTTCAGTGAGCTTGCATTTTGTTTTACGGCACATTATTAACATTGGGTGTTTCGACTATTGATACAGAAAAGCGAGCACTTCACACTTCTCATTTTACAACAGATATTTCAGCATCCTATGTCGGATTATTTAAACCTTTAGTTAATTATTTCAGTTTCAAGTTCCCTATTAAAAAATCAAAATTAGCAAATCATAAGTATATCGATATATCTGCTAGGATTTAAAAAGCAGCAGAAAATTTCCTTTCTGGCGTTTCACTCTCTCAAAAACTTCTAGACGCATAATAAAATTGAAATTAAATACTTCAGTATATAATACAGGATCAAAATTTAGGACTATTTTTAATATCCATAACGGAAATTACAATGTTGGTCTCCTCTAGGTTGAATGAAAACCTTGCTTTTTCCACCTGCATTTTTTAAGAACAGATGAAAATTTTAATTTCGGCTAGTCCCAAACATGCACACGCACATCCCGCACATTCACAATTTATAAACATTTAAAAATTTTGATAATGGATTTTTTAAAATTTTTGATTAGGTGCACTAGAGATTATTCCTCAACTCTCTTGGTCCAATCCAAATCATATAATAATTCACATATGTGATGCGCCTTGTCACGGAAAATCTTATCATAAACTTCAAGGTCCAGATGCTGACAAATATGCAAAGGGCGATCCAAAGAATAGAGAACTTTCAAAGCTACTATTAGATATTAAACGATTGAAAATAACTTATTGTACAATTCAACTGAATGAATCTACGAAGATGATGTTTGACGAGTTCGCTTTCATCTATGGAACAATATCAGAGATGCACGTTAAAGATCCAGCGGCTTTGATGAAAAATATTTGTATAACAACAAGCTCTTGTATTTTGAGTGGCATTGAGTCGACAATGTCTTCGTTTCGTACATCAGATAAGACAATAAAACCCTATATAATGTTGAATGAAGAACCCTATTGGGATGATTTCGAAGCGCACACAGTTCATACTATTGAAATTATGTATCCTAATACAATGAACGATATATTTCAACCTTTATTTGTTGGCAAAGGTAGTGGTCAAATAAAGATAGCACCCCATCCATTTACGAAAGGTTCACTTCGATTCGCTTTTTATGGTCAGTTTTCAAGTGATGGATGTGACCTAGTAGACGTTGTCTTTAAAGAATTCATCAGTAGTGATCCAAGAGGTAACAGCTTACAAGTTTACCAAGAACATCGTGAAATTCAGGTTATTGCACAATTTCTAGCAGGCAAATTCAATACTGAACTGACCACAACATTTCGGACGCCAACATATATTATATACGCAGATGCTGATATTGTCCAACAAAAGAACGACACAACAAAAATCTACCAAGTGGAGCGACGCTTCCACCAGGCCTGGCAAAAATGGAGCAATAATAGTGGCGGAGTGTCCGTAGCTGAATATTCAACAATACTACAAGCATTCTCTCATTGGACACATAACATCACAGCTGGTCGTCTTATGGTAGTAGATCTGCAAGGTGCAAGAAGCGAAGGTGCTTATTTACTTACTGATCCTGCAATACATTGTGATAATATATTACGATTTAAACATACGCGTACTAACCTTGGCGTAAAAGGTATGGGCAGTTTTTTCCGCACCCACATTTGCAGTGAAGTATGCTCAAAACTCAAACTACCAGTGCAACAATTTCCATCCGGCTCAGATGAAATTTATCAAATCTTAGAATCAATCGATAAATTGGATTGTGAAACGATTGAATGTGAGCCGACCATGCTATACAAAGATGATTAAGCATCGGTTACTTTTGGATGTTTTTGATCAACAACATAGATTTTGATAAGAATTTCAAAACTAATGAATTTTTCGAAATAAATTTGATTCAAGAAATGTTTTCATTGGAATTGTTATACACAACGAACCCGAGTAGAGGAGTATGATACACAAAATGAAGTGATCCCGCGAGTTGACGTAACATACGTAAGACTAAACCGCTTATCGATATGCATGATGAAACTTACAATTTACATTTGTCAAACTAAGTTTCTTTTCTTTGTTCTTCACATGTATATGGTCGTTCGATGTTAATAGACCTTATCGGCCGATTTTACCCTAGAAAGTCTATTTTGAAGAGAACTACGACATTGTCAATGGATAACGTTCCAGTCACATTTTTTTTCAAAAGTGACATATCCAATTAAAAATCTCGATATCGCAATAAAAACGTCACCATTGTTAATACATGTCAACATTCACTGACAACAAAATCAATTGATTTGATTATCTTTTCTCAGATATCATGAAAGAAAATTTTGTTATAGGTCAATATAATAAGTGTGTTGTCACTTCAACAATGACAAATCTGACAACATACGAGCAATAGATGTTTCTCATTTTGTGCTGAATCAATGAGAAAGGTTGTCTTCTTGAGAAATGATACCCATAGTTTTTCTAATCGTGTTGAAATGTGTGAGTAGCATTGTTCTTCTCTTCAATACAGAAAATAGTGATCATGTCCAGAATTACGATTGTATATATAATCGAGATCCTGGTGCGCCTCTCATTAAATATTGTAAACGGGCCAGATCACCCAAAACACTTCAACGACAATTCCATGGTTGCCATAACGAAGGGAAATGTTGGAGTTTCCGTGAAATTCTCGAGCTTGGCATTGATCCCAACACCGTATTGCAATGGAGTTCGAGTATTGAAACAGCTGATAACTATGCTGATATCTTCTATGCAAATGAATCGGGTCTAAATATTGAAGACAACACGTTGGAGCAGTTCGCTTGTAATTGTACTAGATTGGGAACATTCGGAAAATACTGTGAATATCAGCTAGTCAACAGTGATGACAATCCATGGTTTTCGTCGTCTATTCGAATGCAATACAATCAGAGAAAAGGTAATGAAGATTGGCTTCAAGTCTTCGGCAATATAGTGTGTTATGAAACATTGATCTGCAATTCTGGTTTAATGTGTTTGGAATGGCGAAATGTATGCGATGGTAAGCAAAATTGTTTGGATGGGAAAGATGAAGAAGGGTGTGATCTTTTGGAATTCAACGAATGTGAATTGGATGAATACAGATGTGATAATGGTATGTGTATTCCTGAACAATACTGGCTCGATGGTAAGAACGGTTACGGAGGACGGAGTGGATGAGACTGAAAAAAATACTCGCTAAGTAGATCGCGATGAATCTAATTGATGTTCGTTGTTTAGGTGAGTTTGATTGTATGGATATGAGTGATGAAAGAAAGTTCACTAGAGGAATGGAATGTGCGGTGAAATTCGATACATTTCTGTGCGATGAACGCATCTGCTATCCGTATACTACATCTTGTGGCGATGGACATTGTGTGATGTTGGCATACTTATGGGATTATAGTACTTCAACAGATTGGAGTTGTTTGAACATGCGTGAACGAAACTATCTTTGCGAAATCACTACTGCAAAACAACTATGGACAATGGAAAATGGAATGTGTTATCCGTTTCCAAATTATGATGATCCGAATGATTTGAATCACCCAAACCTGACTCGAACGGAGAAATGTACGTATTTAGCTAAATGCGCATTATCACGAGGCTTTGAACGTGATTGTCCCTGTAATCAGAAGAACTGCTCTACGTTGATGAGAGAGATCTGTGATCAAAATTTTGTTTTATATCCAACGGGGGCATTATATGCGCCGCATCTTTATTATCAGTATAAAATCGATCGGGACTGGCGTAACATAGCGCCAGATTCGGCTATTATGAATGGATGTATAAAATGTCGAGGCTATCGCGTTTGCCATTCGATGTCAAATCATACCCAATTTTACAAACAATTATTTCGAACAGCAGATTATTTCGCTTGCAAATCGAAAACGGGTTCCGATAATACATCGATCATACAATACGATAAGCATTGCTGGAATGGCTCACGCACATTCAATGGCCTTCCATATGCGATAGCCGATGTATGTTCTATTTCAAGAGAATGCATATCCACGTATCGCTTATTGGATCAGGCTGCTAATTGTATCGATGTAGGAGACGAAAAAGTGATCGGATACGGATGCGATGTCAACGTCAGAAAGCATCGTTTTCAATGTTCATCGAATAATTTTTCACGCTGTTTACCTGTTTGGCGATTGGGAAATGGAGAACGAGATTGTGTTAATGGTTTCGATGAATATATTAATGGTTCGAATTTTCCGATAGCAGAAATTTATTGTAAGCGATCGAATGATTCAGGCTGTCAGATACTTCGACAGTATATCAGTAAATCATCGCTAATGAACACGAGTGATTCACTATCGACTTCACACAATCAAAGTACACCAACCGCCCAAATTCCGTTTCATCATTTGTGTAATTCCTTTTGGGATTTATCATCGAAAATAGACGAATTCACAAAGTATTGTCAACAGTGGATTTGTTCAACTACTGATTTTCAATGTAAAACCGGCCAGTGTATTTCTATGGACCATGTTTGTGATGGAGAAATGGATTGTTCCGATGGGTCGGACGAGCAAGGTATTTTTCTTTTCATCGGCGACAACGTGTCGAAGCACAATCTTCATCTTACTAATCTCTCCGCTAAAATCAACCAATGCCACAAATTATACGATTATCAGCAACCGTTCGGTGAATTTTGTGATTTTCAACGTGAATTTCCGTGCCTATTAAAGAATGTAGCCGATCCAATCGATATACTGAAAAATCGTCCATGTGTTAATCTTACTCGCGTTGGCGATGGTGTTGCTGATTGCTACGGTGCACTCGACGAAATGAATACATTTGAAGATTGTCGTGGCACTATGAAAGGATTCACGTTTCGCTGTGCTGACATGTTAACAATATGGCATTGCATTGACAATGCTTTTCTTTGCGATGTTCGATGCAAAGGAGGTGACGATCAACCCCTCTGCTTTTATCGTTCGAATATACTTAACTGCAGTGCACCGATGGATGCTGTGTGTCTTAATGGTGAACAATGCTTCAAAGGTGGTAGATGTGATGGTTCCTTAGATTGCCCATACGGTGAAGATGAATTTTGGTGTCCGAGAGTATCGAGTAATTTCGCAAAATCCTACTATCGACAGGGAAAACACACATTGGAGGTGGAAAAAACGCTTGATTTCCACATTCCTACGTATCCACGACTGCAACATACGTTGCTATCCGCAAATCCTTCGCAAATTAATTCCAATAAAAAATTTCAACTGCATCGTCGCATTGCACAGATGAATAAAACAAAGAACGAATCCAACTCATTATTACGCGAAAGCTTCTGGTGCAATCGAGGAGTTGCTGTTTACGTTAATAATTCTATTGAATGTTTATGTCCACCCTCTTACTATGGAGATCGTTGTGAATATTACAGTGATCGCGTCACCGTTGTAACACATCTTGATATTTCATATTATCGATTAGAAGATTCAATAGACAACAATACTATCCTAAAGATTGTTACCAATCTTCTTCATGAACACAACATAATCGATTTCCATGAATTTTACGTACAACCAGGGCTCGAAATAAATGAACCTGTCAAGCAGAAATTTCACTTGCTATACAGTCGCAGTGAACGTTATTTAAGAGAGAAACAAGGCAGACAAGCATCTCGAAATCAAATTCTTTATGAGCATCCGTATTCGATTCGTTTTGAACTATATGAACAACGAGCGAATTATGTCATGGCCGAATTGGGTGCTTGGGATTATCCGATCTATTTTGATTTCTTACCTTCGTATCGCTTTGCCACTATCTTGAGATTTCCAAATGATTATACTAATATCTCAATTAATTCTTGTAGAAAGCATCGTTGCCTTAAAAATTCGATCTGCCGTCCGCTGTTCTCCAAAACGAATTCGTACTATTGCTCATGCAAACAAGGATACTATGGGAAACATTGTCAATTTCGCAATGAGCAATGCCATGTCTATTGCTCGGCACAGTCAATTTGTAAAGGTGGATATCGCGATCAAGATATTGGAATACAGAGACCATTGTGTATTTGTCCTCGTGATAGATTTGGACCTCGTTGTAATCTTCGACTGAATTCTTTTTGCCCGAAAGATCGTTGCCAAAACAATGGCACGTGCTTGTATACATATGATTGGACCGGTGAAACACATTTCCGATGTGTTTGTCAAGATCCGTTTTATGGAGCTCGTTGTGAATATGAGAAAACTTCTGTTAACATTCGAATAAATTCAACAGAAATCGTGTCAGTCACAACAATGCAACTTTTCGATATCAATCGTCAAACATTGCAGCTTGAAATTCGTCATCAAGAAGTTCAATCAAGTCTGCCAACATTCATTCGATATCAATATAACGAAGAATATGCACCTTCTCTCTGTTTACTCAAATTTTACGATGATGTACACTCGAGTCGATACTTTATCGGCTACTTTCAACCATCTGTAACTGCAATCAATGTCACAACTAAACCGTTGTATTGCTCTTTAGCTCAAGACTACCTCCAACAATTGAACATGAGTAAATATATACCATTGAAAACCTATTTTTTGTTTGTTTTACGGATATGAGCTTATTCCTATTTCGTTTCCTTTCAGCAACGTTGAATGATGACATTCCTTCAATGTTTCGTTATCATCACATTTGCCGCCAATACATTAATGCTACAAAACAGCCTGAGCTGGTATGCTTTCATGACTGGATTTATCTATGCGTGTGTCATGAAGACTACACTCGAGCTTCTTGTTTCATTCTGGATCCGAAGCTCGATCAATGTTCGAAGTGTCTTTCAAATGGTCGTTGCATTAAAGGTCATCTGAATAATCAGTCGGATTATATCTGTTTGTGTCCAAAATGTCACTATGGCCGTGTATGCGAATTCAACAACGAAGCTTTTAGTGTCACACTGGATTCTTTGATTATTGATAGTAAAGAAGCGGTTCAAACCTTATATATTTGTCTGCTAGCTGTTTTTATCTTTATCGGTCTCTTAAACAATGCATGTAGTTTGCTCACGTTTCAAAGAGAAATGCCGAGAAAGTTCGGTGTTGGAATTTATTTGCTCTGTGTGGCCATTCTCAATCAAATTTCTTTGTTTTTTCTTTTTGCAAAGCTTTTAGTAATCCGCTCGACTTCAATTAATACATCTCATACAATATCCTGCAAATTAATCTCGTATTTTCTATCCGTCTCGACTCGTGCAATCTATTGGCTTATGACTTGGATCTCTATCGCTCGTTTTAGTGTGATAATCTTTCCTAATTCGTCATTTATGAACAAACCAAGAATGGCGATTGTCATCACAGGGTTAACCATCTTCAGTGTTCTACTGTTGCACTTGCACGAACTATTGTATTTACGCATTGTGGAACCATCTCTAATCTGCACAATGGTTTTTCCTTCTTCAACCATATCAACCTATCATCGTATAGCAGTCACTCTTCATCATCTGATACCATTCTGCACGCAAAGTGCTTCAATTACTCTGCTCATTGTTTTTCTAGCACGAAACCGAATAAAAGCAATAGGACTAAGAAGTGATTTAGAAGCAATGCTTAAAAAACAATTTTTCGCTCAGAAAGAACTCTACATAAGCCCATTAGTGATCATTTTCTCTGCATTGCCACAAACAACCCTATGCTTTTATTTGGCTTGTTCATCGATGACCAACTGGCAACGACACTTGTTGACGATCGCTTATTTACTTTGTTACGTACCAAATATGCTTGGATTTTTCCTGCATGTACTGCCGTCAAGTTTCTACACAAAAGAATTTCTCAAAAGTGCAATAGGAAAAACTGAATTATTTCAGTCGATTCTTTCAAGATTTCGAGTTTAGTATGGCTGACTGGCAATTCAAAATAATAGAAACATTTTGAACTATTAAAGTTTAGAAAGACAGAAACCATAAGCTGGTTATTTCATGTAGTGTTTGAACTAGAGCTATTTCTTTAAACGAGAATGATACACAAACACTAACACATAATCAAGAAACACTTTTGATTAACTTTTTTTCTCGCTAGAAATAGAACAACTATGATTAGTTCAAGATGATTCGTCATCCAGTGATGTATTGTCACTTGATTTGTGTTTTAAGGATCGATGTTTTTTCATTGACCTTTGGATAGACGAGCCTGCAGTCTCTTGTGTCGTCAGTCGACTATATGTAAACGTCGTTGATTTACTTGTATTTGTTGTTAGATGAATAAACCATGCAATAATCGAGAGGAAAAATGCCATTATCGTTTCACCTGCAATAGTCATATGACATATGAATGGAAAATTCTTGAATGGCTCATACGTATAATGTCCGCCACTAATCATTGACATTAAACTATATAAAGTGACTATCATTGGCATAGCCATCGATCGATTATATCCAATAGTACACGATAACAATAGTTTTCGACTTGCAATAATAAATACAATCGATAGTGGAAAATTGAAGAGAAAAGTTGGTTCCATTTCAGTAAAGAAAATTTTTAAATAAAGTTTTTTTGGTTCATAATATGCAGCTGGATTGTAAATATTATGTGAATAATGTGCGACATGAAATAGAATATTTAATACTAATAGTACGGGTACTAATAATCGATGGAGTATGGTTTGCTTTAAGATAAGTCGGTATTTAATACAATTTATGATTAGATCGATGAATGTACCAATTCCAATAGTAATACATAGAAGAATCATCATCATTCGAATCCATGAAATCTGATCCAATGACTCAAATATCAGAACATCTCTATTGCGGTATGTACTACGTCGAAATATTGGATCTAAATGATTGATAATCATAGACAGTGTCGAATGATTCATCTATGGTAAAAAATATAGAACAACCTGTACCAGTCTATTAATAGCAATGCAACTGAGGATTTAATCGCAGCATCAAGTAGAACGTGACGTTTGCAAATATGATTCTTTCTGTCGATCATTTCAAGTATTTTCTTTGTTTATCGAATTAGTACTTGCTTGCAAATAAAACACATAAAAATAAAATAAAAAGATTTTTTTCCATTGACGATCGTCAAGCTAGAGAAAAACGAAAAAACGCATTGTAATAAAGCGCGGTCAACACTTCTGCATAAAATGATACGATAGACAAGAATAGTATTTGTCATACAAGGAGTCGCGTATTTGTCGTTATAAAACGCCAGATGTCACCTGCTGCAATAGAACTTGGTATACCTATCCATGCAAATTCACAAGTTTATAAAGGTTTACAACTGTCACTCTTAATTGATTGTGTCGTTTGACGATTTATAAACGTAGTCTGCCGTAACATGCGTATTTTAAAAGGTCAAGTAACGGTTGTTTTCTTCACATGACTTCAATTCCTCTCGTATGTGATTTTTAAAAGTTAAAGAAGAGGAAAAAGAAAAATCCATCCCTAATTATCGATACGTTGATTTCTTTAATTTATTTCTAGTGAGTTATTCAGTCAATAAATTATCAAAAAATATGAAAGATATCAAGCATTATCATTAGTGCTCAAGAGATTCCAATAGATTTAGTTCTAATCGAAGAATTTATACGTAGTTTAACTCATGTGCTCTTTGAATCCTTTATTAAATATGAAATCGAATTATAAATCCGATGAACGAAATAGAGTATTTTAACTATTATATGCAGCCGCTTGGAAGAAACTTGGTGTTGGTTCAACATCAGAGATGTATTCGAGTAGAAAAATAACTTAATTATCGAATGAAGGACAAATATTTGAGATTTTTAGCACAATAAACAGCATTGATATTAGTTATAGAAGATGATCCTATCTAAAAATAAATCACTTCTTTGAATCGATAGTGTATAATTTATTTGTAGTTATATTGTGAACGCACTTCTTCGTATAATTTTTCCAAGCAAATTGAATTTATGACGCGCATAACTATAGATTTTGATACCTTGAGCTATGATAAGCAAATTTCATGAAAGAAAACATCAAGATGACGTTAAATATTGCGATATCATACTGGTATGCAAAATTTATTATCTAACGATAAAAAAAAGTACAGCTATACCTTTGGCGCTGAAGAGAACATTTGTTTGTAATTTTATATTTCTTGTAGAATATTATATATGCATAGAAATATAGCGTACACCGAATTTGTCATGGGAGACAAAAGTCCACCCAAATGGTGGCATCATCGTTGGATCAAGATCATCGTCATTTCTTGTATAATTTTAACTATTTTGATAATTACTCTCTCACTGTTGTTAAAATTTGTCATTCTTGCTCCAAAAAACTCAGACAACACCACTACTACAACGCAATCTACAGTAACAACAACACAAATGACAGCATCAACGTCAACACCAACAACACCAACGACAACATCAACGTCAATACCAACAACACCAACGACAACATCAACGTCAACACCAACAACACCACCAGCGACAACACAAATGATAACATCAACGTCAATATCAACAACCACTACCATTCGAAAGTCAGGTTAGTTTTTTTATCATTGAGTTTCTTAACCTCGCAAAATGTTAAATTTGAAGCAGTTACATGTACTCAGTCGTATCTTCTTTCAATGGGAAGTATCATCAGTAGAAAACTGCGCCTAAGTGAAAGCCCATGAGTTCCTATAAATAATGTAATGACAGATGGAAAATAAACACACAATTGATCTTTTTTCTGCATAATTGACTCTTTATCAAAAATTCAAAACCTACATTGTACCATACCATTTCTGATTTCTTAGAAGAAATTCCAAAAGCCTTCTATTGCAAAATCTTAAATTTTCCACACACGATCACATAATCGTGAATATGCGTCAATAGGTGCGAATAATTCTCTCTAGGATGGTCTAATACCGGTAAGATGAATCATGCACGAGATGAACATACAACATCCTTATTAGTGAATGGAAAAGTGCTAGCTGCTGGTGGTAATAACCACGATGATCATCCTCTAGAAAGTGCCGAATTATATGATCCATCAACATTAACTTGGACAGTTACTGGTAGTATGAATGACACGCGATATGGCCACGAAGCTACTGTATTAACAAATGGAAAAGTATTAGTTACTGGCGGATATAGCGGTGATGTTTATCTCAACAGTGCTGAGTTGTATGATCCATTAACAGGAATTTGGACAGTTACGAGCAGTATGAATGATGCACGAAATTTTCATGCAGCATCTCTACTAACAACTGGAAAAGTATTAGTTACTGGTGGATATAATGGTACTATTGTTTTACATAGTGCTGAATTGTATGATCCATTAACAGAAATTTGGACAACTACAGGTAGTATGGCTAATGCACGAGATGGACACACGTTAACCGTATTGGGAAATGGAAAAGTATTAGCTATTGGCGGATTTGGTGATGGTACAATGCAGAATACTGCTGAATTGTATGATCCATCAACAGAAATTTGGAAAACTACTCGTAATATGCATCATACACGAGATTATCTCACAGCATCTTTATTAACAAATGGAAAAGTATTAGTTACTGGTGGATATCACGGTAATGGTACCGAATTGTATGATCCATCAACAGAACTTTGGTCAATTACTGGTAGCATGCATAGTACACGTAATAATCATCGAGCAGCCGTGTTAATAAATGGAAAAGTGTTAGTTACTGGTGGATATAATGATCGTTTTACTCTAAATAGTACTGAATTGTTTGATCCATCAACAGGGACATGGATGATTGGCGATAGCATGAGTACTGCACGAGCTTTTCACGCCGCATCCATATTAAAAGATGGAAAAATATTAGTTATTGGTGGATCTGATGGCAGTGCTACTCTAAATAGTGCTGAGTTGTACGATCCATTAGCAAGTACTTTGGCAACTATCGATAATATGACTAATGTAGGAAATAGTCACACAGCATTCATATCAACACGACTATAAACACCGTAACAAAAACTATTTTCCAGTTCGTTGTGGGTAGTTTTCAAAAATCAACTTCATCAAAGTCACCGATATGCAATGATAACCAAAGACACTACTAGAATGTATAGCATACAACCAGCTGCAATCTTGCTATTCTTCTTCTTGTTCTCGGGTTCTAGTTACATTAAATATATGGGACATCATTTGTGATTGCTTTGACGAATTCTTGAAGAGCAATCAAATGCGGCAATTTTTCTCGTCTTCAGCTATAGCCATAAAATTCCAGACATGCGGAATATAGGGCTTAGTTGTAGAGTCATTAGCTTATAAGTAGCTAGTGTGAAAGCGATTTTGCCATGTGAGTGTGACGAAAGATTGTTGAGAAAGTAATTTAACTCATATTTCATTTCTTGGACTATGAAGGTAATTTTCAAGTTTGAATATGACGAATAACTTACATGTTTTTGCCTATGCAGATATATTTGTAAAATAAAATATTTCTTCATGATTATATAGTCAATTGAAAAGCATTTTAAATCGCCAAATCTTTTTTTATTTTTCAATAAAATACTCACATCGATTGATGTGAGTTAATGTGAAAAGTGAGTATAAAAAATATAATTGTAATCAATAAGAAAAGAATCTGAATGAAAATTAAAAATAAACTTGGATTTCATGTTTCTCGATTTTTTGAGCAGATAATTAAACATGATAGCTGCAACAAAAGATTGAATCAGCGTTGACAACAAACAAAGAAAAGTCGGCAAAATTCAGATTTAAAAAAATATAACAAAGATGTGTAGATGATGTCAATATATTGTTTGAAATAAGTATAAAATACAAATGAATGACAACATGTTAGTGAAACAGGGTGTGGGTGTGGGTATAACCAAGTGCATGAATCCGATCGGATCCAACCAGCCGAAAAAATCCCACAAGATTCCTGATCAAAGAATCACTATAACGGATTCGACGGAAAAAATATTTTATTAATTGAGTACTAATTAGTGCTTCAAGTCAACATGAGAAGATAGTCAGAGTCAAGTGTTGTATTCCGTCACAGTCCGATAGTAGCATCCCGATAGGAATTCACATAAATCAGATTGTATTCTTATATGGGATCTGATCGGATCCTATTGTCCGAACGATTCTTCTAGGTAGATGCATGCAGTACAAGACACAAGCATAATAAAATGCTTGCAGCTAATTCCTCAAAGATAATGAGTTTTTTTGTTGAATTGACTAACTATAAAGAATGAAACTGATAGTGAGATATACAAAAAGTTTATTTGATTCTATTCTATTTAATTAATATTATATTATATAATCATTGATTATGGACGTGGATGAGGTTCTCGTCGGTGAGAAAGACCACCCATGTCGTCGATAGCGACTGCAAAGTGGCGTAATATCGCCGCTATTGCGATCGCACTGTGGCCCCTTTTAGCACTCCACTATGTCTGTTATAGTGCGATATAACAGCAATATGAACCAAATTTGCGCGCTATGGCGTTACATATTTCACTATCTTGGTATTTCTGTACGCCCGCACTCTCAGTAGATCTAGCTAGTTCATATTGAAAGGCTTATTTCTAGATAAGTTCCATGATTATTTTCTCCTTCCAAATTTTATTTGAATATATAAAAAAAATACATTTAATAAATATCAACAACAACAAAAAAAGAATTCCTGTAGAAAAAATTTTTTGTTCGTGTACAAAACCAATTTATTCATTGTGCTTCATGGGTTTTATTTTTGCCACCGCCACTCTCCTCTTTGCAAGAAAAACTTCACGAAGCCATTCATTAAATATTTGTTCTAATTGATCATCACTAAGTTTAAACTTAGAACGAAGAGCTTCTAAAAATAAAGAATCGTGATTGCAACATGGCGAAAAAAACTGAATTATTACCTTGTATCAACTTATATCGATTATCACTATACGTATCAGTTGGTTGTAATGCAGCCAGCTCTTCCATAGTATACATCACTTGTATCAATGTTCTCACATAAAGATTTGCTTTATCTCTTGTTCCAGTAATTTTGAGTAAATCGACATCAGATTCATTATCAGATGATTTTAAAATCTAGATATAAAAAAAGAGGTAATAAGATAATTGAAGATCATAATCACTAAAAACGAAGAAAAACTTGCATCATCTTTGTCAAGATTAGCTGGTTCTTCCAGTGAAATGAGTACCTAAATAAAGTAAGACATATATAACAATCACAGTTCACATGAGATTTTAAGTTGAGATTGCAATGCGCGAAATAATGAAAAAAGAAAAGAATAAAAATAGAACAAGGTTTTTTGATTGTTAAAGTGTTGATAACGGTTGGAAAAGTTTTCATTTAAATGATCCTTCGTGAATAAAATAGTATTAAATACATTTAACAGATATATTAATCAGTTCATTTTTTTCGTTTTTGTAATAAACTAATTAATCTTTTTTATATATTTTTTAACGCTGCTTCTTGTTAGTGTGAGTCATTTTATGATCAAGCTTCAATATTAAAGATATAGTGGCAAAAAATGGAAAAGATTTATATTGGCTGTAGAAAAACAAACAAAATAGTCACTGTAATAGTAGTGCTTGTTCTTTCATATGTTCACTGAGTTGCTTATAATAAAATTATAAAAATATTACTTCAATCCCAACTAGATTCTAAACTTAACTGTCACATCAATAAAACTTAGAGTACAGTAATTGATCAAAGATTTTAGTGGTTTTAAGAAACAAATTTTTTAATACCATACTTGTCTTTTGTTTAAAGCTTTTTGAACATTTATTTGTTTATTATATAAAGATTCCATTTTCATTTCTAATCTCTCTTGACCGATCAACAATGGCATAAAGTATTTTTGTTCCATAGACTGAGAACAACTGTCTTTATCCATTGATCTGTTAATTGTAGAATCAATTGTAACAACACTAGCTAATCGACGACCATTAAACGTAGGAGTTTTATTGGTTTAATTAATTTTATAGAAATTGTCTTCATCGGGTTGAGTATGAGATGATAATGTATCATCACCTCCTTGTACTTTTTTAGATTTATTCTTCTTTTTTTCGTGGTGGTGAAGATGAATCAATAACTGGTCGTTTACATACATTGATATTTGAAATATAATTTTATGTTGGTGTTCTTGGTGCCAGATTTTAATTACTATTAGTTGTTGGTGAAGATAATGACATAGCTTCTGCATCAGTACAGGAAGTAGAGGCAGTTGTTGTTGCTAAAAATTGTATATAATAAATAATAAAAATAAAATATAATATATTTACATGCTGTATTTATTGTATGCGCATCATCATTACTTGTGAGACAACATTCATTACGAGTTCGTTGCCAGTCTACAATGTCAAGGATGAATAATATTCTTCCTTAGGAAAATATACAAACCTTTTTGGCTATCCTGCCTCTATCACCACTACCCTTCATTCGAATCGGTGTTGCAACATTCTTTATATCTATAAAATTCAAAAGTAAATTGAAACATTGAGTATCTAAGATTTATAAATAACTCGAAACGACCGTTCTTCTCCCACATTATCTTAACTTGATCATTGAAAAAAAATATCGAAAGATACTCAGTCCTTTTATGTCACTTATACTTAAATTAGAGACTGTATGCCGAGGTGAATATTCATTAATATCACTTAGCTATGGTAACATTGATTGAAAATGGTACGTCCTTGAGCGAAGTAAACGTTTTCCTTCTAAAACAAAACAAATTAACGTGCATACAAATAAAAATAAAAATATTTAGACCAGACACATTCAAATTAATATCGTGTGATGATTCATTTTCTTTTCCTCGTTCATAATCACTATAGTTAAGCACAAAATTCATCGAGCACTCACTCGAGTAATCTGAGTACTCATGCTGCAAAGTCGTACTCGCTGGACTAGTACTTTCACTGGGGATTGGTTTGATTTAACTACTGAAAATGAATTGTTACATGGAAATATAGTGACGTGGTGAGTCGTAATTATTTTGATCAGTCACATCATTCAATATTTGAACATAATAATGCACACTGCAAAAAACATGTTTTCTTTGCAAATAAAAATACAACCACTATAGTGATATTTTTTGACGGTATTGCAACGCTGAGTGCGTAAATATATTGCGATAATTATTGTCACTATTCCCCCAGATAACGTCACTATATGCCGTTTCCACGCTTCAGCGGTGCTACTTATAAAAAAATGAACGATATGGGCATACTCGCGCTATACTCGCACCCAGCAACGCCAAGGCACACCCACACCGAAATTCAAGCTCAAGTTAACAACCACACTCTGCTTACCTTAATATTGATTTTTTTTCATTCATTTAGCGGACGCTAGTACGTCTTCTTCTTTGATTTCGTTATCTTTTTTTCGTATCGTACACAAAAACATGTGTACATCGTCAAGGATTTTACACCACAGTCAGGGTTGATTGGCTTGGACACAATTGTTCTCTTGCCGGCACATTATAAAATAAGAGACAGACAGACGATAGATCGACCAATATTGATAACCATTTCGATTTCTATCCCAGTTATTAAAGTAAGACTGCTACAAACTCACATCATAATACATATGGCTTCAGCGCCTGTGATGGCTAATAGCCAAAGTCGAAAGTAAAACAAAATAATGTGTCTTATTTCCATTCTTTCTGTATTTGTTCATTATATAGAGGATCCCAAGTAAGCAAAAAATGAAGGAAGACTGCCGACATGACTAGTCAGAAATGTCCGCAGGATCCGTCTAGTCTAGTCTGAAACGTCTTGCATACCCGTCTTGTCTAGTCAGCTTAATGAGGAGTGTCTTACAAACACGTCTGTACTAGTCTGAAATGCCCTTGAGCCTAGTCATGTCTAGTCCGTGCTGTCTGTTGACCTAGTTCAGACTAGTAAGAAGATTAAAAACAGAGGTTACACGGTGGACTTGAACATCCAGCCCGTCAGTGTTCAAGATACGACGGACATCCTGACGGGAGACTAGGATACTGATATAGACTGTCGTAAGTATAATAATATATAATATCTCCCATAGGCTTATCGCCCGTTGGGGCCGGCGCTAAAGGGCCCACAAGCAGCCAGGTTCTATCGTGTTTTCTCTTTTACAGACGACGGTATCTGCACCCCATTCGTCCAACGCTTTCCCCGTTAATGATATGGGTTGGCGATCATCATAGGATCACGTGGCCGTGACATCTATGTTGAAGTTATTGTTTTGACTCTGCATACTGACTAATGATATAATCGATACGCTATCGGATGAGTCATCCGGAACACTTAGCCGTTAGTAACTTGTTCAGGGTTATTTCATGGTTGGTGATACTGTGGTTTGAACACAGTACCTTGTGAATATGTGTCGAATAACATATCCACTCAACCATGGCGGCTCGTCGTAAGTATATATAGTCTAAACTTATATATTGACTCCCACCCATGCATAGAAAATCAGAAACAAACCGACGTAAACGGTATTGACTAGCCTAAAGCATCTTCTGGACACCTCATGACTAGTCCTTTTTTAAGAAGTGTTTATTTTACTCAATGCTTATCGAATTTTTTCTAGCTAGAAGGGCAATTAGAGAGTCTGCTGTAATCAATAGTGCATTCGAAAACATTTAATATATTGCGTGCATCCCTGTCTTGATATATTTTATTTTATTTTGCATTAGCATATATGCTAAAAGTTTAAGAGTGTATCAAAACATAAAATAGTAGGGGTTAGTACTAACAACAAAATTTATCTCGTATCTAGGAGTGCTAATTTATATATATTTTTTTCAAAATGTGAATGTACTAAATTTAAAAAAATTGAGAAGCATCTAAATCTTTTCATATAATACTATTATGTTACTTTATTCTAAGTGTCAATTCTAATAATTTTAAATAAATCAAAGATAATTTAATTATTAGATGAATATACGGCGATTTAAATTTAAAACTAACCTAAAAAATAATATGAAAGAAATTAGCTTCTTCCCGGTATAAATTATTTTTATTTTTATACTCAAATTAATGTTTTAAAAACCCAACTAATTAATCGCACTTGCTTATAAATCAAAATGTATTTGTCTAAAAAATTATAAAATCTTCTTAATTTATTTCTATCTAATTTTATCGAAAGTAATTGCGTTTCGGTAAAAGATAATTTTTATTGATACATAAAATTAAAAATTTGGAGTAAAAATTGTATTAAATAGCATCTTAGAATGACCATGAGTGTGTAGAATATGACTTCTCGATCATATGACTCAATGGTTCTGGCGATGGGTAAGTGTCACATTGCATACATGTTCGAATCTAATCTTCATCCTTACGTATTTCCATTCAGACTAGTCCAAACTCGTCCACTATATAAGGCTACAGCTAGTTGTATACTCGTCCCAGACGCCCTTAGTTTTTTATTCATAAACCATATTCGGACGGGCGACAGGGATACTCGTCACGACTAGTCGTCAATCGGAGTACTAGGACGCGTATGCATGACGGTCAAAAACTCAGACTAGTCGTGGACGAGTAGTTTTTGAGACGAAGACTAGACGGAACGGATCGACTTGACTAGAAAAAAGACTAGCCATTTAACCAGTCTTTTGCTCACTTGGGTCTGAAGCGATTCAAAAAGTACGAGTGTGGGTTTGTGGTTTCTTCTTTGTATTCTCATCCACACCCACACCCTCCTTTATCTTATCTATATCCCTATAGCTCGTATACCTTCTATATCCGTATATCTTCTATCTTTTCCCCTAGCATTTAATTGAATCTCTGATGAAATCTTTAGAAGGCATGCTTTTCAGTTTCTGTAAAGCTTTTTGAGAAAACCATAGCGAGACTTCTTCTGAAGTACAAGTGTTTATTTTTTGTACAGCATATTAATTTATTTGAATTTTCCGTTTTTTCATTTTTCATTTCATCTAATAAATAAATTAAATCGATTCCATTTGTTTTTGCATAATCAGGTAGACTTTTCTGTTCATGATCTTGTGTATTGACTTTCGCACCTAATTCTAATAAAACTTCTACATCAAATGTGCGTTCTTTAAAAACGACTTGTCGCAAAGCAACGCCCACGTCGGACACTTCACATTTACTCAGTATATCAGACCACATATTGCTCTCATTTGCAAGTAAGATTTAAAAAATATATTTTATTGAAGATATTATGTCTGAAGCACTTCTATGAAATTCACTTTGTATACTAACCGAAAACTCACTGTCGAAATGTTGCGACAAGTTACAAAGTTCCACATTGAAGTTAAGGAAATGATCAATAAATTCTGTAGCATTTTCTTTTCTTTCAATTAACGTCTTTATCGATTCTAATTGTACATCTATGAGTTCTTCAAGATGAGAATTTTTTGTTCCTGAAATTCTCCTATTTCTTTAGCTGAAGTATCATGATGAATAGATCGCTTAAAATAAGACGATAGATCATTTATCGGAAGATTTCTCCACGATTTTAATTGATCCAAAGAAACTTTCATGGCTTTATAAATAATTGAATTAATTTCATATTTAATATTATTCCCTTCTACTACTAAATCGCTGTTATTTTGATCTGTGTTTAATTTTTCGGTTCGACTTCCAACTTATTAACTAAAGAAATTTCCAGTACACTCTAAAAAAATCGGCTCTTTACCGAACCTCCAAAAAAGGTTTTGTAGATTTTATTTATCCTTTTTTGAGACTTTGGGCACCTTTGGATGATTTTAGAAATCTCCGGAACCTTTTTGGAGGTTCGGTATAGAGGCGAGTTTTTTTTTAGAGTGTATATTCGAATAACAGTCAGTATAAAAGTGATATCTTTTACCGATTTCATAGTCTAGACTATTAGCAATGGAATCTTTTTTTTTGAAGTTTGAAAGTAATATAACCATATACCGTATATAAATCTCATATAACTATTAATAAACTCCGATCGATATTCAGAAGAAATTCGAAGTAATTTTTCATTAACAAAACGCATCATGTTTTGAATTAAATCAACCACGAACGCATCTATTAAAAGTACCTCTTTAAGATCAGCTAATTGAGATTTTTGTGTAAAACTATTCAAATTTTCGTCAAAGATTTGTCATCATCTTCAGTCCACGCTAAATGAGTTGCATAGATTTTAAATTCTCTCGGCAATATTGAATGTGTAGCAATTTCGTTTAGTAAATTAAGATTCAAAAGATGTTTCTCTAATAAATCGATAAAACTTTGAAAAAATTTTCTTTGTTCTTGTCGACTTACATTATTCAATGAAATAATAGATTCTAAACTATTACAAAACACTTGATATTGATATTGATATTCGTAATATAGTTTAATCTCATTTTTATAAACAGTATTCGTTTTCCCATTTTCCCACTCAACTACAAGTTAAAGAGCATCTTGTTCAATACAAGGACTATCGATTTCTTCAAGACCTGCTATTTTCATCGACAGACTACCAAGACCATGAAATTTTCCATATTTTATCGATTCTTTTTATTTCGTACCCACCGTCTCATGTCATTTTTCTGTAATTTTCTTTAAGTAGTCCATTTTTAAATTCACCACAATCAATAGGTGAACCACGATTTTTTTAAATTATAACCATATCCATGAGGCTTATCATCTTCCCATGAATCAGAATAATATTCTTCGCGATTGTCAACACCGCATGTACCTAGACCTTCGCGCAAAAGGTTTTCACTAGCTGTACCATCGTAAAGTCCATTGCCTATTGGTAAGAGAAGCTGATAACATTTATCTTCTTACATTTTTACAGTTGAAATTTCCGATAAACATGCTATATCAACTATACTATTTTTTTCATCATCACTACTACACCCGTCATCATTATCTCTACTAAATACCTTAACAGACCTTTTATATTCTTCTCTACTAAATTTGGTAAGTAAAGTAATATTTGAGCTCTAATAATTACAACATACCATGAAATTAAAGTAACGCCACCAACTTTTTTATTTATTACTTGTACATGCATGCATGGTAATGTCATCTATTTTCATTAGTTACTTTTTAACCCAATATCTTTTCTCTCCATTAAGTAAAAGATTATCGGGTTTCATATTTTGTTTTTGCAACATATTCTAAGGTTTGCTAAAACAACGGGAGGAATGGTCCAGAAATGCCCACCAAAATCATGACTTTTTAATGATGAAATAATTTGATTTTACATGATAATAATATTCTACAATACTGATTAGAACTTATACTGTACGACGAAACCAATTTAATGTAAAAGTAAGATTTTGAAAAATATGCTTTCGAAGGAATTAAAGGAAGCAATTTTTGGAAAGGATGATAAACTTAGTTCTTTAGAAGAGATAACAATTGCTCGAATCAAAGAGCAAGCTATAGTATTATCAGGAGAAATCAATGAGAATCGTAATTCATTTAGAGATCGTTTAAGAAACGGGTTAGTGCTTGGTTATGCAGATAGAATTGCTAAGCTTTATTATGATATAGCATATGCGAACTACAACTACTATAGTAAAGGTCTTGTTAAAGATAATTTACTTTCAGTAAAATTTTATTTAGAAAAATCGATTCATCAGTTTGATGGTAAATATCGAATAAGTAATAATTTTAATATTGTAAAAGTAGCAAAATATTTTTTGTATTCAACTTGTGATCTTTATTTGACACCGACTCTTGAACAAAACAAGTTACCTTCGATTCCAGGGAACGCCGTTGTACGGTTAAAATTGAGGAAGAAAATGGATACATGAACTTTGTTTTGTAGAGAACGACTAATGTCTCAAAGAGGGTGCAGATTTCAAATGTATTCGAATTCAAAATGCCAATCTTGAAAGTATTTCCGTCAGTAACCCATGCGAATTGGTTCATAACAATGAAGAAAACAGTAAACGTATAGAACGTATCATTAGCGAAGCACAATTACAACGGGGGCGCGCATCTATCAACGTTAAATAATTACTATTCATTGAAAAGAAAGAGAAAGAAAATTTAAAATAAAAAGTACTGCAAGAACGTGCTACAACAGAAATCCTTGGCGAAGATAATTCACAAATATTTATATGTAAAGTTTTATCTGAATTAATTGAATGTAATTTAGAAATTGGTTGCTTAGACCAAGTTGAGTATTAAATTAACTTATTAAGAAATGCGTCTTGACAAGATTTCGCGGATAAACAAAACGAATATCAACTAAGGAAAGAATCAACTGTGAAATTCCAACACATTATGGAGTTTGAAAGCGCTGTGTCGTTAGCACAAGAAGACGATGTAGAATATTTTTTAGTTCGTAAGTCAGAAAATACATTCAATAATAATATAGAATTCGGAAAAAGGTAAAATATCTTCAGAATACCTAATAGCAGGTCAATTTTATTTATTTCCAATTCACAGCAAAACGAAAATCATTGGGAAAGTTGGTTCAGGATACGAGACAGAATAAAATAATCTTTTCAATTAGAAGTCTCTTTTCTGAAAACGAAAATGTTTTTTTTCAAACGTAGTAGTTTCAAAATTGAAACATGAGCTGATGAAGTCATAGCTTTCAAGTGTCCACATGGGCATATGCATTAAAATATTCCTTATTTCTATCGGTTATGCAAATCATTAATAACTGAACTATCACACAGTTGACATCGATCACTACATAATACGTTAACTACCATCTACCATTGAAACGATAGTTGCCAATTTTTCGACTAAACTGAAACTAATAATTCATCAATTCATAATAGATACATTATCTGATAAATTCTTCATCATGGACAAAGCTGATCATGGCAGATTCTCCTCATCCTTGTCCTTCTAGAGGAATTATTTTCAGTGCTAAAGAAAATCTATTTATATTTTATTGAATGCTTGCTTTTAATACAATAAATCTCACTGAATTAATCTTGTTAAAATATGTATTATAAAGAAGTAATTTGTGGAATCCCAATAATGTATAATGGCAAGCTATCGGTGTCGCTTAAATAGTACCAAGGAAGATAAAGCATTTGATTTTCTACAAGCATTGGACATTGATCATAAGTCAATACATCTGGATGAACTCCAATATTAATTCGCGGTAAAACAACGCCAGTAGTTGTTTTTACTGGAACAATAAAGAGAACTTTTGGAGTTTGTTGATTAGAAGTATCAAACGTTGAAATAAGAACACAAGTATTCAATGTAAGGCAAGATGCAACAAGACTGTATGCATATATTTCATCTCGAGAAGTTATTTCAGTTTTCCATAAAGTATTTCCACGAGAATCAATTGCAGAAATATATGGGAGAATACTAACATATGTTATATTCGTTCTATCATCAACAACTGGATGTGTTGATGAAGTTGCAATTTCAACTGGTTGACTCAATTGCCAAAGTAAAGTAAAACTAACATTTGAATCAACATTCCACGCAGAAACAACAAACGGAGCCGAAGGTGCTGTGAAATTTTGCCCAACTCCGACAATTATATTTTGTTGCTTATTAAAAGCATCATTTTGATTTCCAGCTCCATTAACCTCAACAGTTATTAATGCTTCACCATGAATATTTACTTTTCGTAAATGATCGTCAAGTCCAATCCAATAAATTTCAGTTTGGTTAGTATTGTAATGAGAACTGCTTGAAGATCCAATATCGAATGGACTCTGATATTCAATTTGTAAACTGGTTGTATTAATCAGAGCAAATGATTCTTCATAAAGAGTAACTATTAAGAGTTCCGATGAATCATCCATCGATGGATAGCGGACCTTGAAATGTTTGAGAAAAATATGTATTAGAAGCACATTTTTCAATTGGATTATTTGTTTCCGGATTTGATAAACGACAAATTTTATTTAAATAATTCGTATCCTTAAACCATGATACTCCATAAAATAATGTTCCATTCATATTCGAAGCAATATTTGTAACACCAGTAGTTGTCATTCCGTCGTCTCGTTCAAGATATAATTTCCAACGTATTAATATTAACCCATTTGTCGCTACACATACGAGATATTCAGCTAAGAAAAATCAATAAATCTTGCTGTTTTAATTTTAAAAAGCATAGAGTTTTATTAATACTAACGTGACTTAATTGGATCATTACCGGTAATGAAATAAATATCACCATTAATACCTAATACCATGCCTGTAATAGATTTTATTGATTTTGAAAGATTGAAAACAAGTTCCCATGATGCCCCATTCCATGAGACCATATTTTTTCATTAGCCTCAGGTAAGTTGCTAAAAATGAAAATTATTGTGCCATACAGGAGAGAATGGATATTCCACAGGTACATCATTTCATTTGTTTTATTAAAATAAATTTTTTCGATTAATATATGACTAAAATGCAATGTTCTAAAACAGATTGTTCCATTCTCATAGTTAAGTGGTGATGCTTTTCTTTCAATAACAATGCATTTTAAAACATACTTCAATCCATATTACAATCGAACATTTTTATTGTCATTGCTTTTTATGCTTTTGTTTTTGTTGGGCCTTCGAAAGTATTTATTCATTTTTTTGTGCTTTTTGTCTTCATCTAATTCGAACAAAATTGAACTGCTATAATAATGCTTGAAAATCGGAGGAAATAAGACCTTTCAAACCGAATGATCGATAATATTTTTACCAAAGAATTCTTCTAAAGTGAGTTTACTCTGTGCTTCTTTTATAAGTATTTTTTTTGACACAATGAAACTTTTTAAGTGATTTTTTTAAATATAATTATAATGTATAAGTCAAATCATTTTCAAAGTAGAATCCAGCAGCTGTAAATATTCCATGTCGCACAAACCGATCGAAAGTCACCGGTTAACCGCGGTCGGATGTGGGTGTAACTGCGAAATTAGAAGCAGTGAAAGCAACACAGTGAAGAGAATTTCCATGCAAACTTTCTCAAACGCATTAATAAGTTTTCTATATCGTAGAAATTATATATATGCTTACAAAAAAATCAGAATCTAAAATAATTTTCATTATCTGAAGAGAAATTCAGATAGCTTTACTACAGAATATCTATGGCCAGTTATTGTAAGATGCAGTTTTGGTTCATACTATGCTTTTATAATCTTTACTTAACGAGTCATTCGTGTTTGTTAAGACATATTACTGTGTTTCAGTAAACGAGCCCAATATGACTGTTTTTCTTTGAATTCTTCAATTTATTTTATCATTCTGATCCGCATCAATAGAAAGAATAGAATTAACCGAAGCGTATGTATTTTGAGATGTTTAACGTCGTTGGTAATAATGCACCCAATCAATTTCCATTCGACGAGGAAAAATATTGTCATCAATACCTTGTGCACCACCCCTGAAACAAATGAATCTATTTTGAAATCTTCTTATTCTACATCGTATCATCAATTGAACGATCCTATTTTATTTTTCATAATAAGGTTGGAATAATCTTTTCAAGAAACTATTTCGTCACAACGAGTGGTACTCAATCTGAATTTGATGAGATCAATTCTCAATAGTATTCTGTTGTTATTTTGTGTATATCTGTGTGGCCTATGATAACAATCGTGATAGTGTCTTCACAGTTTTGAGGCATAATCAAAAATAACCTTTCATGCTAATATTGAAATACTCACCAATTACCACCCACAGCAATGTTGATAATAATAAAGAATGGCTTATCAAATGGCCTAAACGTTGTAAATTTTTTATTTAATAACTCCGAAAATTTCAATAGTGACAAATCAATATCTTACCATTTTGTCCAATCTCCCTGTTTATTCCAAATAAAAATTCTATTAGCTAAAGGATTATTGTTATCGCCAACAAACATTTCAATTTTATCAGCATTCCAATCGAGTGTATAAATTTTAAAATTTGAAACAGCATCATTCACAATTATGGAATTGCTGGGGTGATTATTTTTCATATGATTATTTGCTTGTGTGTGTACAGTTGAATGAATACGGAATGGATCATATCCCACCTGTTCCATTAAGTCGATTTCACCGTTATCTGGCCAATAGGCATTACCATACGTACGCTTTTCTGGTAACTACAATGCATTTTATATAGATAAGAAAAACACAATTAAATCGATAGTTACCATCCAAAGAGCTGGCCAAAGACCACGACCTGTCGGTAATTTGGCCCGAATTTGCAAACGTCCATATGTCCATTTGGCTTTACTCTTAAGACGAGCTGAAGTAAATTGACAATTTTCCATATTTTCCTTGAACAAAAATATAAATATAAGCAGGGTGGATTCACTAAAATATCTATTTGTTCACTTACTCGGCGTGCCTCTACAATCAGACGGCCATTGTTACTCCCTGGAAATAGTTCACAACGAGCATTTTCCACGCGATTATTTGTGTAGTATTGTTTCTCATTATTTCCTAAATTTGTGATATATTTTTTCCTGGGTTACACTTCCAACAGCAAATGACATTGCATCTTATATCAAATAAAAGATATATGTGTATCGAGTAATTTGAGAAATGACTCTTCTCTATAGAATTTCGAAAAGTTTAAGCACATTAGAAATAAAACGTCCTCACCCTCCACAAGTAGTTTATCACGAAAACATACGCTTTTCATGACATGCTTTTTTCTTTCAGATTCTATAGAGCTCTCTTCGTTGGTAATTTTAGTAAAAAAAAAGACTGTCCATTTAATTTATAAATAACAATACTAGAGTCAGTCAAAATACGCATAAAATAAATTGCCTGTATTAGTCAGAGAAAGTTGAGATCCTCAGGATTTTTTACGCTAACATATGTAAATAATATAAATGGAAAAGAACGAAATCGAACACAAATATATATTTACCCCAGCCATTTTCACCGACACCGACATCAAATTCCCATTTATTAGTATCGATTCCACCGTTCCAATCGAAATTATCTTCCCATACACGAACCCATTCGCCTTTACTTGATTCTAAAGTTCCAAATTTTCAACAATATCAAAATAAAGAAATGTATATCCATATAGCAGATATATGGAATATATCTAATATTTGTAACACATCTATACTATCGCATGATATTCAATCATGAGAATAACGAGACTCTTTCTCTTTTGTTTTAGCTATCTTGATGAGGAATGTATCTCCTACCTTTTACACCACAGACCATACTCCAATCTTTTGTAGAGAACGCATTGCTTTTAGAAACATGACCCTTCTTCATCCAACAAGTACCACCATTCCATTTGCTCCAAGAAAAATGAGTACATCCATGTGTGCTAGCACATTTTCCACCACATTGTTCTGCTGAAACCCGAACATGTGAAAGATCATTTCCTTTGAAATCACAACCATTCGCCCAGTTATTTCCTTTCCAATTGATCCTACATTGGATCAGATCAAAGGATAAGAAATTAATGATCAGCAAATGCATGACTGTCCAAGAAGATATCAATTTTATCATGTTTTGATTCTCGATAATCGCTGATCAGTTTTTTACACCACTTCTGAAAGCAAAAATTGTTTTTTTGCCATTAATTACAATGAATATTTGATCACTCCATTCCATCTTATCAATTCGACAAAACCGGCTTGATTCATAATTAAAGAGTACAGTCATTTTCTCATGCTGTCGATCTCAAATCTTATTTTTTGTTCTCTCCAATAAAAATGTATAATTAGACTATATTTCATATAGTTTAGCGATGATTTTAAAGCAAAAAATGATTTTTTTATCGAAATTCTTGTTGAAAACTAGTAAGAATATAGTCAGTTGAGCTCCAGAAAAATCAATATATTTTTGTTCCAATAAACTTTAATGGCAAATTTCGTTTCAATTATAATATTTCATACGAAAGATAAATATTCTGCAGGAAAAAATGAAAAAAAATTTCGCCAGGAAAATTATTTCTTCTTAAAAAAAACACAATCTACTTACTATCAAAGTTATGTTTGAATATAGAAAAAAACTTCTTTTCGTTTAATCATTGATTGATTGCCTCTATAGTATTTATATCAGGGCTCCTAATGGGATGGGATAATCCCATCCCATGGGACAACTTGTTTTTTTTTAGATATCCCATGGGATGGGATGAGTTCCTAATCCCATGGGAAATGTGATTGTTTTTTTAAAGAAAAATGATTACTCATTTATGTCACACTTGACAATAGGTGAAAAGTGTGAATATTATCATTCTTTTTCTGTACTGGTCATTAACCCAACTCCAAGCTCTATTCGAACAATTGAATAAAGAATACGATAAAACATAGAAAACAGAAATAAACATCAATGTTCTTTTTGTTTGAATGCTTTAATAAAATATCATCATATTTTGTTTTATAAATTGTTCAATATCACCTTCTATAATTATTTCTTTCTCATTATCATCCTTAGTTTCGGATAAACACCCATGTCCTCAAAATCGCTAAAAAATCGACGATTATATCGCGGGATATTAAGGCGATGTATCGTGAGATCTTATCGCGACATAATCGTTCAAATTGCTGCTTTTTTTTCAATTTTTAAGAAAAATTGAGACTAAATTTACGGGTACTTCTTCAGATCGACGACACCCCCAGTTTATTGGTCGTAACAATGAGAGGAAGGAAAGAAAAGTTATTGGCTCATTTAATTCAGTCAATGAAAAATAAATCGATAAGAGAGATAGAGAGATGGCGTACACTTCTATACCAACCTATTCTAGTTCTAAATAAAAAAAGAATAATTATAATAAGGGATAATTCAATTAAATGATTAATGAGTTCATGTTTAATATGAAAAAAATGTTCTTGAATGCGATTCATTTCTTAATAATCTTTCTAACTATCATAATGGCTTATGCTCCACTACCTTCTCTTGATGATTTAAATGTTCGAGAGTGGAATCAATTAACTTCAACAAATGAAAAAATTATAGAGTTCTGCCAACAAGTTGGCCTGATACATGTGCTTCCTACTCAGCCATATCCTAAGAATCATACCAATTGGCATTTAGGTGCTTGTGCCACCGCAGCCGACAAATGGAAGTGGCGTTGTCGGACATGTAAGTCATCCCGTTCTTTACGTGACAGTACTTTTTTTCACAGAGCCGGCTCTCATTAAAACAAATATTGGATTTAATGATGTTCTGGTCACAAGGTTTGGATTCACACAAATTCTTGAAACGAAATGTTAACATTTTAGGTGACGTAACAATCGTCGATTGGAAGAATTTCATGCGCGATTTATGTGTTGAATATTTCATTCAACATCCAACAATTATTGGTGATATTGGTCATATTGTTGAGATCGATGAAAGCGCATGGACTAAACGAAAATATCATCGAGGTCGTCAGATAGATAATCAGTGGGTTTTTGGAGGGATTGATCGGGTTACTCGTGAATGTTTTGCTGTACTTGTAGATCGACGTGATGCAGCAACATTAATTCCAATCATCTACGAATTCTTTATGCCTGTTACAAAAATTTACAGTAATCAATGGGCAGCTTATAATGCACTCAGTCACCCTAATAATGCTTCTCATCGTTATGGTCATCAAACAGTCAATCATTCTGTTAATTTTGTTAACCCAACAACATTAGTACATACACAGAACATTGAAAATATGTGGATGGTCGCCAAAATTAAGAAGAAAAATCAAATGAGACAACATCGTACTTTACTGGGTAGTCACTTATTAAAATTCATGTGGCGTCGTCGATTTGGTAACCGTCCATTCGAGAACTTAATTCGTTTAATTCAAGAACAATATCCACTCGTATAAGTAGGTATCCAGTAAGTTTTAAGTAAGTTTGTTTTTCTTTTTTCTCTCTCTTAATTTCATAAAATACTATTTCTATTACTTTTGTTTTTTGTTCTAGATTCATCTTCTTCCTATTTTTGCTCTTCTATCTCTTGTTTTTCTTTTTTTCTTTTCTCCTTTTTTTAAAATAAATAACATGAAGTATTTATTCAACCCATTTCTTTTACTAAATCACTCTTCAATATAGAAGCGTATGCTATCTCTCTCTCTCTTATCAATTTATTTTTCATTGACTGAATTAAATGAGCCAATAACTTTTCTTTTCTTTCCTCTCATTGTTACGACCAATAAACTGGGGGTGTCGTCGATCTGAAGAAGTACCAATTTACGGTTGTGTAATCAGCTTAAATTTCTCATGAAAAAAGGTACAAAAAGTTAGAGTTTTCAAGACTTTCGATATCTATAGAACGCGTCTCTCACTTTTCCGTTTGAGTTCCCTGAGAGCGACTGATATACTCTTGATCTCATTAAGTGCGTAGCAATTCGTTTTTTATTACTGTAGAACAGATTCGACCAGATGAACTTGTATTTTGGAATCATGAAATATACAACTGTACTAAACTTGCGTATATATGAGATTGTTGAATTTTTTAAGTGTACTCAGCAAATTTTGTTACAACCACGAAAATGCTACTGAGAATAAAAACTAGGGATGTAATTTTCCTGTTACTTTAAAATAAATATAAATAATTTATTTTGATAATTTGCATGTAACAGTAAATTTGAATGATAACAATTCATATTTAAATATAAAAAATATTTCTAACTAAATTTCATGAAAATATATATTATCACAAAATTATTTAATTTAAAACAAAATAAATGTGATTTATATCTATCTTTAAATATAAATATTTTTTTATAATCTATATTTAACAAATAAAAACATGAGAAGAAATTGACATCTCCTGGTTATTTTTAAAACGAAGATATATTTCATTACTTTATTAAGATAGATTTTTTTAATGATATAATGAATCCATTGGCTATGGCACCTATATGAGTAACTTAAAAAATAAAAGAATAACTTAAGGATATGTGTGGATGATAAAATACTGACTTTCACTCTCGAAACATTTTCCACGTCTACCCCTTTTCGAACGCAATCAGACCAAATCGAATCTCATTCAAGTGATGTGATTCGTTTTTCTATCTGGTTTTTAATGTAGAGTACAACAGAAGAATAATTTATAAATTTCTATGGACGAAAAAAAATGAATAAAATTTATTCTGAAGTGAAAATTTATATGAAAGAGAAGAGAAAAAACTGAGAATACTCTTCTTCTTTGTTAACTGATTACACGAATATGCTTAAAAATGTTCTTCAATTAGTTGGGATGATTGAAAGAAGCTGCCTATGTAATTATATTGATCAAAAACTAATCTTCATTTGTATAGGAAGCAATAAAAATTTCTGTTGCAACTAATCAAAGATTGGTGATATAAACCAATCATTGTAATCGATTATGTAATTTATTATGATACAGTTCGACTAAACAAGAGGAGATTAACAAGTTCGCCATTTTGTTTATCTAAGCTAATAAATCAATAATTAATGAGTTAGATAATTGTCTTCTAGTATGTTAAAAAACTTTAAAATATGTTTTTGGTGAAAATATCTGAAAATTCGCAGTTAGTTTCGACCAATCACAAATCTCAAAATAGTCAACAATTTATGATGATACATCTGCGCTACTTAAGAAATCGATGATTAATCGCGATGCATTTATATTACTTGAAAAATCGGTGATTAATCGTGATAGATCGGCGTTACTCAAAAAAGCGGCGATCAATCGCAATTAATGGCTAACATTTATCAAAATCGCGATGTATCATCAAAACTTAGGCGATTTCGACGACATGAGCAGGAATATTCAGTTGAGAAAATCAAATTTCGTTTACAACATCACAAGCAGAATTAAAAGGTATTGATAATGATATTCCAACCAGGAATGCACCAATTTCTAGTACATGGTACGATAGATAAAATTTTTGCTTAATGTAGGAGGCAGTCGTCCTCTGATTCCGTTCCATATATCAGCCAAGATCATCTTTTTCGATCTATAAAAAACTATGATCCAAATTTATTAAAGATGAAAAAGCGTTTTTGGATTTGACTCCCAATTCCAATTTTCAAGTCGTTTTCCGTCAAATTCTGCCAAATCCAACCTAGTTTCAAACTTTCAATTTGCATTACACAAATTCTAAGAATAGATTTGAAAAAGCGTTCAAAACTGAACAGAAAAATATAAAGAAAGAGATGTTCAATCGATAATTCTCACTACCGGGCACGCCATTTTTAAGTAGGGAAAAGATCCAATCCTGTCAATTTCTTGAATTTTTTATCCAATGTTTACATGTTCTCAGCATTGGGAGTTATGGATTAAGCCTCTTTTTACTTATTCTTTTTTTCTGTTCAGTCTTGAACGTTCTTTTCAAATCTATTCTTAGAATTTGTGTAATGCAAACTGCAAGTCTGAAACTGAATTGGATTTGACCAAAAACGACTTGAAAATTCAAATTCTGAGTCAAATCCGAAAACGTTTTATAATCTTTCATAAATCTCAGCTATCGTTTTACATAGAGCAAAAAAATGGTCTTGGCGATATATGGAATCAGAGGACCGGTCCACTCTACATCAGGCAAAAATGTCATCTTTCTTGCAATGTACTAGGAATTGGTGCATCCATAATTCCAATATTCAAATCGGAATGCTGGAAAACTTCGAATTTCCAGTTACAAAAAAACAAACCTTGATTTTCAGTAAGATTTTTCGTAATATAGCGAATCCCATGGGAGCCATGGGATGGGATGGGACGACTTGCATTATCCCACGGGACGAAAATTTCGTCCCATCCCATCCCATTAGGAGCCCTGATTTATATGGTTGAGAGAATGTGATTTTATCTTTGCAAATCGCAATTGTTTACGTGTAAATGGAAACATTTGACCTTTTACGATACAAGTAAGGCTCATCAAAGTGTGGCAACATACAATAGTTTCTATTTAGCTTGTGGATTTCTTCTTATCGCCGGTAGCTGCATCCGCTACCTTGAGGTTTACTTTAACTTTAATTTCAAAGTAAAGTTCAAGTGTCATCCATATTGACAGATAATTTAAAGTATTCAATACAAAAATCCAAAGTATATTTTAAATGTATCGAACAGAAATTCGATAGATAATTGTAATTGACGCAATAATAGCTTATTTATGACAATTACAATCACAATCAGTGAGTTTTTCCAGGTTGAAAACCACCACCTAGTTGACCTCGAAAATAAGAACCACGAACAGCGCCTCGCCAACAGCCAGGACAATTATCACAGGATGCTTTAGTAGTCATCGGTTGTCTATTTGTTTCGCGTAGATGAGTTTGCTATTTCTAAAAAAATAAATGTTTATTAGTTTATTGGCTATGTAGATTCCACATTTTAAGCCTATGGATAATCTTTTTCTGGCATCAAGGTGTATTCAGTAGACTTACTTCCTCTATTTCTGTTTAGTTCATGAGGTAGTCGGTTGGCTGTTTTGAGCTTAACACTGAAATTTTTGTTGCTTCAGTTGCTTTTTCATTTCTTAATTTTCTTTTCGAAGTTTTTCAATTTGAATTTGATGTTGATTCAAGTTTTCAGTAAGCTGTGTGTTATTGAAAATAAGTTCAGTCAGTGTTTGATCGTAATGCGGGATATGGACATGTCTGTAAATGCTTTTCGAATTCTTCATGTGTTCCAGTTAATGAACATTTAATATCTGCTGATGGACAAAGAATTTTTCGCCGTATAACTTACAGTTTTTATTGACGTGTTCATTAATATCACCTCTTTATAATTCTTTTTCTTGACAAAATGGATGTCTGGCCCGAAGTTCATTGAGTATATCGATTGAAATACGTTCGGTGACTGGAGTCAAATCTTTTTCTTTAACAGGTTGACGACACGACGGATATGATGTCTCGTTGAAGCCACTTTGTAATACAATTGTGACAAAATGCATGTGCTTTCGGTATGCATTCTGTTTTTACAGGACCGATGAAAGGATTACTACAAATTTTACATTTCAAACCTTCACTGATGGAGTCTTCATTGATATAATCGTATTTATCAGTGATAGTCACTCGATTCATTTTGAATTTTATCTGCGAAATTGTGTGCAGAAAATCAAGCTTATATTCTATAATAAAAAAAAATTTATAAAAAATATGCTGTAGAATACGTTTTTTATGATAACTGAAAATTTGTTGATTTCTGGGGTGTGAGTGTGGATTTTTCTTCTTCTTCGATCACTCACATCCACACCCGCAGCCGAGCAGTTTCCATATGATAAGCCATAAAAGAAGAAAAAGAAAGCAACTTCACATTTTTTGCTTGTTCTTCATTCCAATAAGAATTTCTTCTTCGCTTGAGGTGTACTGCTGACAAACTCGGATATTATTTTTTACGACGAGTGAAAATTCAATTTCTTCATCTCTAAATCACTGCAAGTCAACTCACTTGATTTTTTTGGCTGTCTCGAAAACCGAATTATATTATTACACGAAAATCAAGCTGGGTTTCGATGCAGTGATGGTCACGATACTAATATAACCACAACTAGAGCTAATGTTTAGGTAGAGTAGCTACTACGAAAAATAATTCGAACAATTCTAATCGAATATTAGCTGAATTGGAGTAGATAATCTAACACCGTGTATTTTTTAATCGTACTCATTGCGTGGAAACTACTAAAAAGACTTTATGATGCTGACTATTACGAATTTTATTTTATAATTTTATTCTGATGAGAAGTAAATAGTAAAGAATCATCTTAAGATTCTATCTCATTTCTATATTGATGACTTTTTAAACTCTTTGTGTGATGATTCTTTCAGAAGTTCAAGATAAATCAAACGACAATCATTATAAGAAGGATATCAACCATCATTTTTCAGCGATCAATCAAGAGACACGAATAATCAAATATATTGACTTGCGAGTGCCAAAAAATTGCAAAGAAATTCTTAATTAGCATAGATATTGTGGCTTCAAAAATTGATAATGTATTTTTACTTTCAACTCTTTTAATTTTAAGTCGCGTTATGAGCAAAGAAAAACAATTTTAGCAGGAGTATGATAGAAATATACGATTTATCATAATATGAAAAACCTAGAATAACGGCGTTGCAATGAAGTCTCTTCTCAAGACCATGAAGCAATGAGTATGTAAGTGAATCGTCGTGAACGAATAGCTTATATTAGTATAAAAGCAAGTTTGAAAATATGGAAGCAATGATGAAGCAATCAAATCGTTCAAAGAAAAGAAAAGTCGTAGACAAATTTTTTCTTAAGTATCCAGAAAACACTGTTGAAAACTCGGTTATAAAAATTTTTATTTTAGATAGTTATGCATTTCGTATAATAAATATTAATTGTTTTTAAAAGTAAGATGAAATTTTATTCAGTGTAGGCTGTTCTTTCAGTTCTTTTTCTTCGTTTTCAAGATAATAATTCTCTCATCTTCTATTTTTCGAAGATCGAAAGGCGTCAACACTTGATACTACGTAAATATGCTTGAAAAGTTCACTGGTGTAAAAGCGACACAGTAGCCAAAAATAAGTTGTTTCGTATTTTCTAAGCCAGCGTTACTTCAACTGAGTATTTTGTTCTTTTCTTGAACATTGGAAAAATTATTGTGCAACTTAAGTAGACTGCAATATTTGCCGTATTCTTATTTTATTTTTGTTTAAAAACTGGAAGTAGCTATTCAAACATTGCGTGCACAATAACATTAACTTCGCATCAAAATAACATGAAAGAAAAGAACGTGAAGCAATCAATAATAATTTTATTCTATCTACATGAATGAATTTTTCGATAAATAAAATGCATGGAATCCTAGTCAACGAATGACAAAGGATTCTATTGTTCTCTGCCTAGCTTTTTTACTTGTACCAAATATCGAATACAGAGATCTATTTCAAATAATACTCAATCAATGAAAACACAATAAATCACAAAAATTACCGAAATGCTTATAAAGCCACTGCAAACATTCCTATGGAGATATAGCATCTACAGGCGAAATTCATTATGACATATTATTGAAAAAAACTCCAACAACAAGCTTTATTTCTCTGCAAGCAGTGACAGAACCGAAAAAGAAAGCATCAGCGCATTATTCATTGTAAACAAAAAGCAGAGAAACGGAAGAGAATGAAAATTTGTCATTCTTAAGAATTTGGCGATAATAATCGCTACCAACAGCACTTCGATAACTTGCAGAAATAATCTGATGCAGACGAAGTTCATTTCCAACTTCAGAGATGAGTCGCCTGATAGAGAGCAAGGAAAATCGAAACGATGCCACTCAGTGCAGCGTTTTGCTCAACACTTCAATATTGTTTGGTTGGATCCAAACATAAAAGAATCTGATGAAACCTCTCGAAATTCACTTGCCCGATTTCGAACCATTGCCGATGCAACTAACATATTTAATGATCCGGATCAATTTATAGACTATATTACTCGACCTCGATCCGAAAAGCTGTTTCTCGTTGTATCGGATACTTTTGCCCGATCGATTTTCCCTCGTATTCATAAAGTCGTTCAAGTCGATTCGATCTACGTATTTGACAACAACCAGCCGAGTAATGCTAGGTGGAACCAAGAGTGGAGCAAAGTGAAGGGCACTGCTACTCAGTTCGACACATTATGTAACTTACTCAAGCTCCGTAGTCGACAGTGTGAGGATAATTTTGCTTCAACCAGTGTGGTACCTTCTGCTAATGTTACTGGTACTAGTTCAGATGAACTAGACCCATCATTCATGTACTCACAAATACTCAAAGAGATTCTTCTCGATGTGGATTATAACAGCAAGGCAAAGAATGAGTTCGTCAAGTTATGTCGCGAGCAATTCTCTGCAGATAAAGACGAATTAAAAGTTATTGACGAATTCGAACAATACTATCCATATCCGTCGCATTCGAAGGAACTCGACCAAGATCCGTCCCCCATCTGGTGGTATACTCGCGATTGTTTTCTCTATGTGATGTTAAACAAGGCTCTGCGAACTCTGAATATTGAAAAAATTATCAAGATGGGATTCTTCATACGAGATATCCATCGACAAATCGAAGAAATTCATTTAGAATTACAGTTACGAGAACCATTAGAAGTGTATCGAGGACAAGGCATGATAGCTGATGAATTTGAAAAATTGAAAAACAACAAAGGTGGTTTATTGTCATTCAATAATTTCTTGTCGACGAGTATGGATAGAGATACCGCAAAGAGTTTCGCTTATCTTGCTCAAAGTGATCCCAGCATGACAGCTATTCTCTTTCAGATGTCAGTTGATCCTTCGGGTATTTTCGCTGTGTTAGGAAAGGATATAAGCTTTTACGATGAAAAGGAGGTACTACTTTCAATGCATACCGTCTTTCGAATCTGTGCAATGAGACCAATAGAGGATGGAATATGGGAAGTAGAGCTGAAATTAACGTTGAATGATGATGAGCAACTAAAAATTCTGACTAATCAAATACGAAAGGAGATCGGAGTTGGAACAGGATGGGATCGCTTAGGTACGTTGCTAGTGAAAATGGGTGAGTTGAACAAAGCCGAAGATATCTATAAGACATTGCTCAGTTTGACACGAGATGACGATTGGAAAATGTTGGCCCATCTCAATAATCAACTTGGATATATCATGAAACAAAAGGGTGATCTATCAGCTGCAATTGCATTCTATCAAAAAACACTTGAAATTCAGCAAAAATATCTTGCACCCAAACACATTGATTTGGGAATCACCTATAGCAATATTGGTTCGGTACATGACTCGCTAGGAGACTACACGACTGCACTTACATTCTATCGAAAAACACTTGAAATCAAACTAAAATCTCTCTCGTCTAATGATATATCATTGGCGACAACTTACAACAATATCGGTTCTGTACATGATTCGATGCAAGACTATGCCACGGCACTTCACTTCTATGAAAAGGCACTTGAAATTCAAGAAAAATCTCTTTCCTTGAATCATCCATCACTTGCCACAACCTTTAGCAACATCGGAAAGGTACATCGAGAAATGGAAGACTATTCGACTGCACTTTCGTTCTATCATAAAGCATGTGAAATTTTTGAAAGATCACTTCCTGCCAATCATCCATCACGGGCTATTATCTATAACAACATTGGTCTCGTTCATGATTTTCTGGAAAACTACTCGAAAGCACTCACATACTATCAAAAGACACTTGAAATCAAAGAAAAATCGCTCTCTCCAAATCATTTATCATTTGCTACGACCTACAACAACATTGCTTTCGTTCATAAATCTATGGGACACTATGGAACTGCACTCTCATTTTATAGGAAGGCACTTGAAATAGCACAATATTCTTTGCCTCCAACTCATCAAGATATTCAAGATTTGAAAGAGCAGATCTGTTTTGTTCAAAAAAGACTTTGAGATTTGAGATTAGTTGTGGATATAGTTGCCAATGCATGTCTTTTCTACAAGCATAGTCATTATTCCATTCGCGTTTACTGTACGATGTTTACTGTTAAGAATACAAATAAAAGAAGAGAGTATTGACTAAGTGGGTGTATTTATGGCTTCTTTTGAAAGAGATCATAGAAACGATTTTTCCGTTGTGATGTCCCAAGAGCAGCCAGCATAGATCCTGATATCATTGAAATTTTAGGAATTCTTTACTCTAAGATATTATAGAATGAAAAGATAGTTTGTAGTCAGGTGTAGAGACACGATTACCACACCCATGTGTAATATTGAAGAAGATTGTGCAACAAATACTTTATATGTGAAGAATGTATATGAATGAAAAGATATTTATATGTGCCACCACCATGATTTGATTCAAGAAAAAATTCGAGACCTAATTCTTTCTTAACGCGAACGCGTCCAACTGATATTTGATTTATTTCTTTAATTTCTATTGCACATGATAAAAAATTGATTGTTCGAAGGATTGCTAAAATTTTAATAATAACACGCTGACGATTTGATCACAGCGTCTTTGTGCTTACGTATGCAGAGAAAGTATCGAATCCCGGGCCAGATGCACTGACAGAGAACAAGCCAGGAGCAGTCATTCAATTCCGCAATGTTGAACATTCCGGAACCAGTTCCGCCCCCGGAATCAGTTCCGTCGATTCCGGAATTAGCTCAATACGGAATCGGTGGGAATTAGACGGAATTACCAGGAATTCCATGTGATTCCGTTCAATTCCTGTTCGACCTAATTCCCGGAATTCCGCACCGGAATTGCAGTCGTCACCGAGCTATAAGATACATCAAGTGTCCATTGATCACTCAATTCCGGAATTACAACTTGTATCACTCTTCTAGCTTGTCTTATCCATTTCGTGATGATCCGATTCCGGTGCGGAATTCCGGAATTAGCTCAATACGGAATCGGTGGGAATTAGACGGAATTCCGTGTAATTCCGTTCAATTCCGTTCAATTCCTGTTCAATTCCTGTTCGACCTAATTCCCGGAATTCCGTACCGGAATTGCAGTCGTCACCAAGCTATCAGATACATCAAGTGTCCATTGATCACTCAATTCCGGAATCGCAAGGAATTCCGGAATTACAACTTGTATCACTCTTCCAGCTTGTCTTATCTATTTCGTGATGATCCGATTCCGGTGCGGAATTCCGGAATTAGGTCACTACGGAATCGGTGGGAATTAGACGGAATTCCTAGGAACTCCGTATGATTCCGCTCAATTCCTGTTCGACCTAATTCCCGGAACTCCGTACCGGAATTGCATGGTGTGGGTGTTGCCATAAGTGTGGGAGTCAGTGTGGGCATTTCCATAAGTGTGGGTGTCAGTGTGGGTGTTGCGATAAGTCTGGGTGTGGATGTTGGTGTAAGTGCGCTGAATTCCGGAACCGTTGGGAGTTAGGCTGAATCCGTTTGAATTCCGTGTAATTCCGGAATTGAATCGGAATTGATAAACGGAATTCCGGGAATTAGATGGAATTGGTCGGCAGCGATTCCCGGAATTCCGGAATTGAATCGGAATGGATAAACGGAATTCCGGGAATTAGATGGAATTGGTTCCGGAATGTTCAACATTGCGGAATCGGATGTATTCTCCAAGCCAGTAACATTCGGATAAAATGTTGTGACTACCAAAACGTAGATTGAGTCTACAAGAAAAGTATATGTTAGACTGAACTGACCATTGTCACCACCGTCATCATTTTGTAAGAGTATATTCGAAGATGGAGACGTTGAATCAAAGCTATTACTGTATAAGTAGCCATATGTATCGATATTACTCTTGCTTGCAAGGGTGTGGGTGGATATAGATGCTATTCTTCCTTTGACACACCCACACTCACACCCAATTCTAAAAAGATAAATAACCATTGTATCTCTACTTTTTATCAAGAAAAAGTTAACAATATATCTCATATTTGTCATTAGAAAGTAATAATATATTATTTTTGTGTTTTTTAAGTGTATATTATATTTTATATTACAATATTGGGACGAAGAAGACCAAAAAAAGACGGATAGCCTTTGTGACGCTCCCTGAGCCAAACAACTATAGGTACTAAGGAAATATCTATTTTATCCGTATGTCCTTGTAACCATATATCAATGTCTTTTAGCTTGAAATCCTTTGTTTTTCTTTCGCTCGAGTTATATACATATAGTGTTGCTTACAAGGGGGAAACGGCAGACTTGAAGTAGAAAAGTACATCAAAGTACTTTACTTGAAGTAAGCTTAAAGTAGCTTAAAGTAACTCAAAGTAGCTCAAAGTAGTCCAAAGTAGTCCAAAGTAGCTTGAAGTAATTGCAAGTAACTTCAAGTGAATCTGAAGTTGAAAAGTACTTCAAAGTACTCTACTTGAAGTAAGCTTAAAGTAGTTTAAAGTAGCCTAAAGTAGCACAAAGTAGCGCAAAGTACTTGAAGTACAAAAGTCTGCCGTTTCCCCCTTGGTTGCTTATCGTAAATAACGTGTTACGACGTTGATACATTCATCTCTAGAGTTACAACCTTTGCTATTCACTTTCTTCTTTGTACTTTCTTCTTTCCTTTCCTCTTCTGGTCCCAGTTTAATCTATCCCTCGTATATGGTATATAAATGCATGTTTTTTTCCTCGTATCATGGTTGCTTTTATACTTAGAATTAACAGAAGTGAAGTAGTCTGCCTATACAATCGCTTTGTTGTGAAAAATCGTTACAGTCTTGATCATCATCGATTTGTAGCAGTTTCCTATAAAACTCAATACGTTGTGTTTCTTACGATTGAAGAAAAACTAGATCACTTAATATTAAAGCAGGAATATGAAAATCAACTTGCTGCTAGCAATGATCCTTCTTCTAGTTCCTCATTTAAGTAAGAATCAAGTATACTGTTTTTCCCAGCCTCAGCTTTAATTTTGTTTCGAAATGTTTTCAGCTTTAGCACTGAACACCACTTATTTCAAAGCGGATAGAACAGATTCAAGTTATGGGACAGGCATTGTTAACACACAAATTTATACTATTGTTGACTACCGCGGACAACAAATTTATATCTACAAGTCACTCTCAAATGATCCGAAAAACCTAATCTACTATTACGTGCCAATCATGTTTCCAAAGAAGAAACTAAACACTAATTGGATTTGGACTTCTGGCAGAGGCGAACTACGTCTAAATGTCATGTTTGGCAATGATGAAATTGAAGATAAGGCATGGCAAGAAATTGGCAAAACAGGAGAAACAGGAACATTTAAAGTGGTTCCACTCATCATCGATTCATTTTCAGCCTTCGTCGGTAATGCAGATAATAAGCCGGTGTCTGGTGTACATCTATTTCGTAGAACACATCCCAATGATAAAACAATGACAATTAGATTTCAGTGTTCATCGGAAGTCATTGCTAAGGAAGTCATGTCAAGTGTGGTCGATGGCGATTACGATGTAGAATTTGCATTTTTCTTTGCTGGTCTCAACAAAGTCTCAATAAGTATAGTGTCAATCACCAGTGATTCATTAAAAAATGTTCTCTCAAAAATAAAAGCTGACGGAGGAAATACTAAAGCAACTTGTGCTCATAGAGGCCAGGCCAACAAATTTGTTTCTAGCTATTTGGCCAACGTTAGAAAGATGATTTACAAAGAAGATCCAAAGTCGAACACATCCAGTTTAACTGCTGGATTAGAACACCAATTTATTTCACTAATGCACCAAGGCCAGTAGCTTCTTATAAGTAGTTTGATATGTCTGAGACCGGATTTTTAACCAAAAGAGAAAACTTTCATGCATTTTGTGTCTATGTTTCACTTCTTCTCTTAGGCATGGATAACTCAAAACAAGAGAAATTAGATCTGAACATGTATGGCCAACTTTGGTCTTCTAGTGACATAAATCCTGATCGTCTTACTTCGGAACTCAATAAAATTTTCACTTATAATCAGGCGGAAACTAATTATCGTAATACAAGGGATAACTACTATGACTTTCATGAAGAATATGCCAAATCATTGGCGATGTCAGCAGCATTGGAAGGCTCAGCTATCAAGCTTGGGACTCTATTAGGAAGTATGGACATATATGCATCACTTAATTAGGTTGAGTCGGATGCTACCGGAAAAACAACGCATGATGTTATATCTTTGACAGATATTAAAAAATATCTAGATCAGAAGTCGATAGATACCGAATGGAAAGGAGAAAAGATTATACCAAAATCATTTTAAGTTTATAAACTGACAGATATTATTGATAATCTACAGGTTGCTATAATGGCAACAGAATTGACAGCAGAAAAGACTAATAATGCAATGATACGAACACTCAGCACATTAAACCTGCCTCCGACGTTCGGTGGAGTAATGCAAACAAGTGTCATTCAATCATCTACATGTATGATAGGCGAAATTCGATTATATTCAGCTGATAGTCATCCTCCTTTTCCTTGGCTTTTCTGCAATGGAACTACAATTTCACGTATTGAATATCAACGACTCTTTTCTGTTATCGGCGAACCCTTCGGAGCAGGAGATGGAAAAATAACGCTCAATGTGCCTGATTTTCGCGACCGATTTCCGCTAGATCTCAATTCAATGGCTAGTGGGGTAGGCGGTTGGGGAAAAGGCGGAAATCAAGAACAGACACTTACAACTGATCAAATGCCTACTCATCAACATAGTGTTGGTACATTACACACTATCCATGCAGGTACACATAATCATGCAGCCAATGATCCAGGCCATAATTATGGGGGATATACAGGAGAGACTGAACTACCATTTTCACGCAGCGGCCACTACGGCCAGCCCGGTGGCGGCCACTTCTACCACCCGACATCTCATAAGCACAGTATTCCGTGGGGACGAACTGGAATAACCCTCGACAATGATGGAACTCATTCAGCATTATACCACCTTACCAGACAATAGCTTATATCATTTTCACTGGAGAAAACTGCGCTTGAGGTATTACTGTGCCCAAAAGCCTTCCTTTCGGCAACACCCTTGAGGGTGCGCATCTGTGTGTGGTCTTCTACGTATGCCCACACACCCACACCCGTATTTAATTACTGATCAGAATCTGCGTTTCAAATTTTTATCGAAGATGTCATAAGCTGTGTTGCAAGACAAATAGCGAAAGATCTTTAGGAGCAAAAGTAAATACGGCATTCATATTTCGCAATGTTGAATTCAGATATCGGAATTTCCTCTCAGTATGTGTTGATTTTGTATGCACAATTGTTGGGATGAAGAGAAGATCCTTATTTTTATCCTTTCATTCACCCAATCTCAAGGAAAAGACGCTACATTGACACTGGAATCTGAGAAGAGCGAGAAGAGAAAATTTTCCGTAGGCAGAGTTGCAATGAGAGCCAAAAGTGTGACTCCGTTGATCAGTAACTTCGCGTCAAGATTATTAAATCTTAATTATTCGAGAAAGTAAGCACTTGTCTTTTTCGGAAATAGAAAATAGAACAATTTCTATGTCAATGTTGAGTAAAGGCTAATTAGCTGACAATTGAAAGAAAAAGATTCTGGTTCAAGAAAATTGACGCATATCGATGTTGTAACCGTTGGTCGTTATCGGCCCGCTAAAATAAAAACAAATAAGTAATTTAGAGATTGGTTCTTGGCAAAACAAAAGCGTAATGTCATAATGAGCTTTTCGTGTTTAGTGCTCAATAATAGCTAAAGACGAGATTCGCAGTGTTTCAAACAAACTTGCATTTCGCAAAATACCTCTATAATTGACTTCATGATATACATAATGACCTAACCATATTACATTAATCGATTAGTATTCCCTATAGTTTTGTTAATGTCGCCAAGACATGTTTCAACTGTTCACAAGGACAATCTATGTCAAGAACTATGTAGAAACGCTTCTTTACATTGATCTCGTCTTTAATTGGTGCAATATTATCGAATTTCGGAGTCAGAATGAAAATTTCACTACTTTCCGGTTTTGTGCTCACTTTTTATTATCAAAAACCATGCGGAGCCATGACTATGGTATGCAATTACATGTTTCTTAATCGACTTATACTAATACGTGCAATGTGTGAAAAGTGAAAAATCCATTACAGACTATAGTTATATTTTTCAATATAATCAGCCGACAGAGGAGCAAGCTCTCTTATTTATTTCTTCATTTCCCAAAAAAAAAGAATTTATTTTCTCTGTTCATCTTTTTGTATTCCGCTGCTCTCTTAATCTCATATACTTATTATTCTAAATATTGATTGAATTGACAACTAAGCTTGTTATACATATCCATCAAATCAATCCAATATCTCTACACACTATTATACATCTCGATCCGATCAGAAATACTGGTATTCTTATATTTTCCAAAGTTATAACATGATAAATTCACGCGTCATAGACTCATCTTATTATGAATGTGGTAAATTAATGTATCACTACTCGTCATCTTTGACTTTTATTATTTAAATTTTATCTGTGTAAGTCTAACACTGCACTATATAACACACTCGCAAGTGTATGGTCGCCATTGGATTTTCTAACAATACTTTAACGGCTATTATCCTCAGATGCCGTGGAAACATAATCAATGACATTTTACCATGATTGTTACTGCCTGTAATACAGGGCATGGAGGCTATATAGTTAAAACTTACATTCATTATTTTCTTCAAATATATATATATATATATATATATATATATATATATGTGAATGCAAGAAAAATTGTGCGCACTGCCTGAGAGGGAGGGAAACGATTTAGTAAATTAAGAAAGAAATTATTATTATACCAGCTGTGCCATTCGTTAGTTGGATCAAAAACTTTTGCACTCGATTGTTTCCTTGATCACTAACATATAAATTTCCGCTTGCATCAAATTTCAGATCCCGTGGACTTTGTAATTGGTTTGCCGCAACGCCCCCTGTGCCAGTACAACCAACAATACAGATGCCACCTGCCGTATAATTTGTTGTCCATCTCATAATTCTGTCGTTTCCTGCATCAGCAATATACACGTACCTATCGAATAAACATCGTAGCCATACAATCTCATGGATGTTCGAGTGCAAGCAAAGTTTACTAGCACATTTTTAAATAGGTTCACGTGTTAAACTCAAACAACTGATATAGGACTAATAAAAAAAACTGTTATTATTAAATATCTAATCTTTCTAATATACTTTAAAATATATTGTGAGTCACGATTCAAATAAGAATCTTAGCATTTATTTTAATTGTTATAAATTCGAAAATCTAACACATAAGTGTTTTTGCCTGTCATCATTAAAAATGTAGACGATGAACTTTTTAATTCTTAGCTAGTCGTTATCATGGAATCAGAATTATACTCATAACACAAGGTCTATGATATTTAAATCTTGAACTCTAGATAACAGTGCAGAAAAAGGGGGAAAGCGGATTCCGTATAGTCAACAAACTACACATTATATAGGATACATTAACTGGGGAACATTTTAGCGTTTTTAGGTTAAATCAGTTTCATATCAAATATTTCCAAAAACTAAGAACTCTAAGTTTTCAATCCAATGAAATGTACCTGATTATAGATTTAGTGTTCCAAGAAAACTTCACTTGATTTTATTATTCTGAGAATCACCATTCATCTCTAATCGTTTTTGAAATAACTTGAAACATATATAGGTCATCTCAGCTTTTTGTGCTGACTTAAAATATTGCATTTTATCAAGTCAAATCTACTATCTGCTATTCGATAGTCACCGAATACTGTCCAATAGAGCTCTCAACTATAACAGATATAGTATGCACGTGGCTTACAAGACATTGATTTTGAAGTTGAATTACATATTCAGCGAAAACATCTCAGTTGCGCATCCTTATAAAATGAAAACTCATAAAGTCAAATCACTTATTCCTTCAAATGAATTCTAGTAGATGAAAATAATCAGCACCAAATGAGCCTTTTGTTCTGCATACGATTTAACTTTCAATGAATTTTGATGTCGAAAAACTGTTTGCTTAACGCTTCCACAAAATGATTCAAATGTTCGCTATTTTCAATCACCACATTAAACTCTATTGAACTAGAAGTACTTGCACTGAAACAAAGACAAAAGTATTTTTTCGATTCCTGTAGGGGGACCCCGTGTATGAAATATGAAATAAACATGTGAAAAATGTTCCGGAATGAATGCTAGTTCTCACAATAATAAAATCAAGTTACGATTTCCTGGAACCCTAAATGCATAATCTGACACATCTCTTGTCTCAAAATTATGAAATCGCGGAGAAACTCCAGTTTTCAACTTTTCTTCTTTTGAAGGAAAGCGGATTCAGAGAATACCGAGATCCGCCTTTAGCCCCCTTGGTGCATAATCACTTCTACATAGGTTGAAACCGGACGCATTCTAATATTTCTCTCATCGCTACTACGTAATACTATCATTGATTATACATTTTATTATGCTGTCATGGTTACTTAGTGAAGGGAAAGCGAGCAGTTAAAATAATCCAACATTCAAATATGACTGAATCAAAATCTGTAATTTCAAGAAAAAAACATGATTTATCCAATGAAAACTTTTCTACAATAAACATACCCGTTATTATCGACGACTATCGCGTTGGGACTACTCAATTGTCCTACACTAGATCCGGATGAGTTACTGATGCCAGCTACAGTGATTCCACTGTTTGCTCCATCCGGCCACATTTGGATACGCTGGTTTCCACTATCAGCTACATACAATGTTTCATTCTCATCAATGAAATTTCCGAAAGGAGCTGAGAACTGATCTGGTCCCGATCCAACTCCATTTGTGCCTGCTATAATTGCACCGACTCCACCTGAAGCGTTAAACTTGACTATACGACTGTAAGTTGAATCAGTTATAACGATAACATTATTTACATTGATATGCAAATCTCTCATTACACCGATTGAAATGGCGGAACTGTTAATAGCAACTGTTGTGCCAACGGTTGAACCAGGAGGAAACTTCTGAATACGATAATTACTACTATCAGCGACAATCACGTCGCCATATTGATCAACGGCGACACCTTTGGGCGACCATAATTCACTTAAATCCTTACCTTTCGTTCGATTACCAGCAACAAGGATGCCAACGGTCGCATTAACATAGTATTTGACAATTCGATTATTGTCTCGATCACACACGTACAGTGTGTAATTATTATCAATGAATATGCTTACAGGAGTAGCAAGCGATCCCAAATCAGAACCATTTGTTCCATTGCTATTACCAGCAACTGTTATTCCTATTTGATTCCATGTAGCATATGTCGGTATTGTTAATGACCAGATGTCTGCGGCGGAATCTAAGAACAGACATTTATATTAATATAATTTACATACAAGCAAAAATGATCATATTACATGTTGTTGTTGTGGTTGTTGCAGTTGTAGTGGTTGTTGCAGTTGTTGCAGTTGTTGTAGTTGTGGCTGTAGTTGTAGTGGTTGCTGTAGTTGTAGTGGTTGCTGTAGTTGTAGTGGTTGCTGTAGTTGTAGTGGTTGCTGTAGTTGTCGGAATTGTTGCGTTTGTCGAAGCTGTCGGAATTGTCGCGTTTGAGCCAGTGTCAGTAGTTACTGTAAAAAAACAGTGAAGAAAGATCAAAGCAAATTTGGCTTATTTTAATGAGGTCTGATAATGCTTCATGCGAGTGCGAAATTGATGAAACGCTTCAAATTTTCTTTACCTAATTATTTCGCTTCAACTTTGGTAGAGCACAGAAATAAATACTAAAGTTATCGATTTTCTTTGATTAGCTTTTCGGTAGACCACAAAGCTTCTTAACAGTGGTTTTTATAATAGAGTAAAGGAAAGGGCACGAGACTCGAGGAGCCAATGCGTTCTAACGAATTTTTGTTATATCTTAGTGTTAATGAATGATGAAGTCTATAGTGAAAAGTGATCGCGTTTCTGCTGCCTATCTCACCGTCAGAGGTTTTGAACGGCACCTAATCCAGAAATATGATCAAAATAGTGATTCAAGTCGCGGTTTTTCTCCTCATAGTCCAAACTCGTTTACACTGATATATATTTGATAAAAGATCGCATAGGATGCTTGTTGCATGGCAGATGTAGCGCGTGTCGTATGATATATCTCGGTAGCCATCTTCTAAAAAGGTAGCTATGTTGTAAACGAAAATACAACATTTAAGGACCATTCATATCCAATGTTATGGTTGTTGAAACCAAAAGATTGTTTCTTTTTGAAGAATCTCCTGAATTTTCTGTTAAGTCCCAGTACTATTTGAACGGAACCTGTTTCTATTAGTTTACTCGCAGATAGTCCGAAATCTAGTCAAAAGTCTTCGAAATTCAATGGGACTGATCGCTCTAGAATGACTTGAGTGCAATATATGGCATTGCCGGGTGCAGTTACGCTACTTGATTATTTTCTCTAATCACACTAGACTATCATATACGCTTTTATTATCTTATTATCGTAGTTACTTATTGCAGTTTTCTGCATTCTATTCAGACAGTAGACAATTCGCAACATTGAACATGAAGATAGTTTATTCAAAGGTGTCACATAACCGCATGATGCCAAATTTTCAATAAATGTACTATTTAAGATTTAAACACTAAGATCACATAGCTATCCTGGAGTAATCTCACACAGCACTGCCTGGCCACTATCTTCTGTGTAAAAAAAATGAAGCATCTTTGAGCATTGTTGAACAATTTGATAAAAAAAGACAAAAGAAATTTCTTCTATGCTTAGAGTAATCAATGCATTGACTACAATATACGGTATTACGTAATTATTCTTTGGAAAACTTGATAAGAATTCTGGTAAATCAAAGACAGACTATTTTCACTCTTAATAAATTTTAACTGTTAATGAATTTATGTGACTGCTAGACTCATATCAATCAAAACTCAGTGTGGAAGTAAGCGTAAACGTAACTAACTCGGAGTACTTGTTGAACATTATCTAATAAATCATTCAATTAATCAAAAGGAAACCAGCAAGGCAGTTTGAATATTTTCAATTACTATCTTTCTCTCTCTCACACATAGAGTTTTGCTATGTTGAATAAAGCATTTCGTCACACCTGTTGTCTTGTCTGGTGACCGAATCAAGAGTCCAATGCACAATCCACAAATGCCAGCAATCAATGCACCAATGCCGAGCATAAGAAGAAGACAGACAAACGGCGAAAAAACACAGCATTTACCACGACCACGAAATCTAAAACAACAGAACATATGTAGCCAATAGATCACATGAGTCTCAATAACAGGTAGCCAAACATTGAAATTTTCTAAGGACATGATCATATAGGATCACATCGTAACCCCACGCTTCCTCCCTCTGCCTTTGCAGCATGGTCTGCAGAGAAGACAGTATTTTGTTTTCGATCTTTATGAGGATTATCAGTGTATGAAATAATATTTTTGTTCAATAATCGACCAATATAATCATTTATTTTGGTATGGTTTAGTATAGTGATCGTATTTTTGTATTTTGATGAATACGTTGAAGTTTTCGGGTAGGAAAAGAATAAGAATGTTTTGCAATATTAAAATATCGCCATTATTTGAATTCTGCATATTATATAAACGGAAAAGATTTCACTGTAGATTTCAACAACAGATTTTATTAGAAGTATTCCTCTATGAAATAAATCTAGCTGTAGGAAATTCAAAAAACCTTGAATGAAAAGCAAAACAAATTCTCACTGAAACGCTTCACCGTTTTATCTGATCCATTCTTGAATAAGGTCGACTTTCAACATTTCTCGATTCTATCAATAAAATGTTTGTCAGCAAATATGTAATTAGCTGAGAATGATATCAGTAAAAAATTAGCTTTTATCTCACTTTGATCGCTTGAGTTTTTGCGAATTTTTTCGTTTTGTTGCCGACAACCGATCATATTCCCTTGCTGGTGGCGTTGATTGTCTTTTCAATTCATTTATCTTTATTAAATTGATACCATATTTACATAGTCTAATATTTTACATGAACTTATGTATATTTATTAATGCTCACTGAGTTTTCGTTTTGGATTGCTTTCGGAGAGAAATAGTCGTTTAAATCAGCCTTAATACGAATATTGTTGCATTTTAAAATAGAAAATTATAGACTGAGTAGAGAAGTACTTTATTTGTATTTGGAGTTGAAATCTTCGATTCAGCTGTTTCATTGATGGAAGCATCGTGATTGTTTGATAATTCTATAGAAATGTTTGGAGATATTTCAGGATGAATAGATTTTCGTCGTCGTTGTCGTCGATTTCGTTTTTTATCAATTCCATTAGAATCAGTATGATCATTGGTGACTGATTTCAAAGATCGGTCGGTAGATGGGACTGCTGACTTTCGTATAATAATACAGGAATGCTTATTCTAAACGATCAAAAATCTTAACTTGGTGATTTTGCTGGGATAATATCACTTTTTCTCATCCATAGAAGAACTACGGGTGTGGGTGTCTCTGAAGAAGTTCTTATATTCACACATGCGTTCCTTCACAGTAAAGCGGTCATATATAATTATCTTCAAAGTATATTATAGTTGAGTTGGTTTACAATGCAAGAAAATCGGATTTTATATGCTTATTACTAAAGAGTTTGAGGATATATTATCATAATGAATTTTTATAACAGCTGATATTCATATTAGAATTTTTTCTTACAATTGGTGCTTTTGTGTCGAAATTCATCCCAGATGTTCGACGCTTATCAGCAATCGAGACATGAATCATTGGTTGAGAATGATATTGACTTGTTTTCATTGTCAAATAATAATCTAGAATACATGAATCCTGTGTGCAAAAGGAGAGAAGTGGCATTCGATCGATAATCTACAAAGCTTTCGCACTTACTGAAGGTTATTAACGAGTGTTGGAAATTTCAGTAATAACAGTAACCCCTAAATTAAATTAAACCGTCTATTTCGTAGATATAGTTTATCTGCAGATAGGCAAAATAAAAATTGGACTGAAATACTGATAGCAGCCTTTGAGTGCGAATTGGTGGAGGCAGCTTTTCGCAGTTGATGATTATGTTTTACTGATGATTGAATTTTTCTCACTCTTATTCGCTCCCTTTCATTTCGATTCAAAAGAGAAAAACTAGCATTCCAACGGATTCTTTCCAATCATTATGCAAGTTAATAACATTGATCGAGTTTCCATTTCCATTTTTCTTGAAATATGCAAACGTATTGGTAGTTTTTCAACAATGTGAATCGATAGCAACGATTGTAGAAACAATACACGAAGAAGACATTCATTTCAATAGTTCGGCTTGTTTTGGTTACAATCATTCCCTGGTTGCTAAAGTAAACAGTGACAGTATATTCATTTTTTTTTAATTATCATGTATTTTGGATACACATTTGTGTGTCTACTTACAAGAATTATTTTCTGTTAAACTAGACTCGGTCGATTGATATCTGTAGTTACTAAATATACCTTGAGACATGATATTTGATTTACAAGAGGGGTAAATTGTTTTTTCGACTATAGTATAATTTCATGTATGTTTGAAATAAATTGCTTTTTTTCTATATAGAATGGTGTAAACCATTGTATAATTACTATTTTCTATTTTTAATATTGAAACACTATTGGAATGAATTTATATTTCGAATGATGAAATTGATATTTTACAATAAAATCAGTAACCGTGTGAATCCACGCCAATCAGAATATTATTTTAACTATTTTTAAATTTTATCAGTAATACGCTAGCGATGAATATCACTTTCCTGATTACGACTATGCTGATGTTCAACATTACGAGTATAAAAGCGCGTAGATTTATGGTTTTTGCTTTCATCTGTAGTTCGTGCAAGTTCGAATTCAGTTTGATATCCGTTGGATGAATAACGACCAAGTTTTTCTCAAATGGTGTTGAAGCGTACTCGAAAAAAAATACATACATCTACAATCAAGTACTATTAGTCATCTGAATGCAAAATGGTAGGTGTGGGTATAGATGCTTATAAAAAACCCCCCCCCTACCCCCCCCCCCCCACACACACTCAGAATATTTGCCATCTTGCTTGTCATTCTGCTCGCCGTTCGAGGTATTAGAGTATTGTTCGTTATTGATGTCAACAGTGTTCCTGTCGCTGTGGTCGTCTTTGCCTTTGATTCTCTCTTCTTCTAATTATAATATCCTGTTCTTGAACTTGATTTTGAAATGATTTTTGATTAAATATCGTATTGACAATGGAAAGTTCTAATAAAAGTTGGCTTATAGTAATGCTGTCGACAGAGAGATGCTCACCGATGTTGTATTCGTTCTTATTGTTTTCAAATAATGTTTCACCTGCAATGGTGTTTTTTTTTGTTCATGGTTAGAAGTCATTCTAAATAAAAATGAAGAGTACGAAAAACACTCCATTATTTCGACACCTTGAGGGCGTGGGTACACATGTACCATAGACCTTTCCTGTTGCACACACCAACACCCATCAAAATATAAGTTCGATTCCTATTTCATCTATGTGACTGTTTCATTAACTTTTCCCTATCCTATAGATTCTTAAATTTTTATTTAATGGACTTATGTTTTTTTCATCTTTTTAAGAATACCATTACCCACATGGATCAATCTGACAAGGGATCCGATTGAAACCCTGTAGGATCCTACCGACCGGCATGCAAGGGGGAAACAGCAGACTCCATGACTCCATGACTCCGCTTGACTCCGCTTGACTCCGCTTGACTCCACTTGACTCCACTCTAATATGAAGTCCTCAGTGTTCTAAAAA